CTAACTTAATACTCTTCAGCCTAGTTTAGTTGTAAGTATTTCTGACCACACGCCGGCTTCCAACAACACCAACCAGCCGTCTTCTTTATTTAGACGACTTCCACTGTGGCCTGTGCAGCCACTCGGCTATCTCTCACCCTGATTTCCTCGAGCCATGGATGAGTGAGATTCCTCATGCCTTTAAAGTGTTTACACAGTGGGGGGGGGGGGGGGCTGTTGATTTACTGTTCGTCCCTCAAAGTGTCTCTGTGCCTGCATCACATTCCCTCACTACTATAGCCTCCTCCCGCCCCAATGACACGAAAGCAAAACACCTTTTTTCCTTTTCTCTTCAGCTTTCATTTAGGTGGAAGCCACCTTCACATTCCACTTCATTGCTTTCGTATGTGCGCTCCTCAGTGGTTGCAAGACCATCTTATCAGGGAAGTGCTTAAACGGTGCCTGGCTGCTGGTGTTCGTCTCGTGAACCACGGGAATGACTTTCTGTGTCTTCAGGCTTTTTCATTTACAGCCTCTCAAACTGCTGATGGGCGTTCATCAGGAGCTGTCGTTAACACTGCGGGCATGGCGGGAAGAGCTTGTGATAGCTTGTGTTTTGAGCAAGCCGGGCTCCATCATTCCCCCCGCTCCCTGGGGAAACAGCCCCGCCCAAATGTTTGGAGGCAAAAATGACCTGAGAGCTTGTGTCGTTGACGGCGCTGCAGCCTGAAGGTAGTTTCACCTAAATGACGGTGTTTTACTCCTGATACGACATTTCGCCCGGGGAGGTTTGGTGCTTTTTTTTAGCTGCTGCCCTTCTGTTTGAGAATTGACCCACAGGGAAGAGGAAAAAAAAGGGGAAATATTCTGACATTTCTGTAACCTTTCGGTGAAGCGTGGCCTGAAACTGTTGCAACAGACGTTACAATACATGATCACATCTTTTAGTTTCATTTCTAGGTTGCCTGTGTTTGGGCCGAGTGACTGTACTACCTCCCTGTGTAAATATAGGAGGAAGGAGAGAAAGTCCCAGCATCTCAAGACAACCACGAGATATACCTGAATCATCCCAGAGACTCGGGGCCTTGTGATATTCAGCGGTTCAGCCAATACAGAAGTGGGAACAGTGTCTGCTTAAAAATAGTCCCGAGTATGAATATTTAAAGAACTGTGGCTAAGAAATTTATCTAGATGTCAAAAAATTCCCTTGTTTCAAGAAATATTTACCCAAAAGCAACAAGTTGTACGTCAGTTTACAGCTTCGTGCCTTTTTAGCCGAGTACAAAAACATCTTTTGAGAACAAACAGACAGAAATTTGAATATCCTCTGTTTTTAAATCCAATTTAAGTCTGAACCAGACTTCTTTCTTTTTTACACATAGAGGCAGATGGCCACACACACACACACACACACACACAGCCAGCAAGGCTATAATTGATACCATCTATCCAACCTAACCCCCTCCCTCCCTTCCACCCCCGAAAGAGGGGAGGCAAGCGGTGGCATTTTATTTGTTTACATTCTGCTGCCACGTGGAAACCAACAGCAACGCGCTAAGAGTTTGCTTTAGTCAGGCCAGGAGACTTATCCTGCCCCCCCACCCACAACTACACACGACACCTGGAGGCCAAATGTAAATGCGCTTTGCTTTTAGGATTATGGTGAAAGCTGCAGCTGGCATGTGTGGAGAACAGACACTCTGCTTTGGTGCAGAGATAGTGATGGTATCTTCTTGCAGCTAAACCAAACTAATTAGCATTTTTTTGGCAAGAGAATAAGGTCTAAAGTGGCCCTAATGATTGTAAGTAGAACAAGTTTTGAAAAGCACTTTATAGAGAAAGTTCATGTGATGTGAAACTAAGACAACCAAGTGTTTTTTAAAACAAACCAGGTCCAGCAAGAGCATTAATAAAAGTACACATTTACTATCCAAGATATTTATTTTTGTGTCAGACATTTATCTTCAAAGAAGCCCACCTGCTGCTGGCAGCATGAGATTAATCCGAACTGTTCGCCTTTTCAAAGACATCAGAGAAGGACGGCGATGTCTCACAATACTGAAGATTCAACACGACTTGTTGCGATATTAGATTTCATAAACCCACTTCTTTCACGGTGTGTGTTCTGTTATCTGAGTTTCATATCGGTTTCACCTGTAGAGGTGCGTCTGTGGATTCGAGTTGTTTCGGAACATGAAGGTTGGACTCGAATAGTTTAAGATTAATCCCAGTCCTACTAAATTACATATAACTGGTGCCAAATGAAGAAAAGCTGCACCTCTACAATTATTTACTTCATTGAGTAAATCAAGAATAATTTCAATAGTAAAATGACTTGGACAATGAAGGGAGTGTTACAATTGTTGGACCAAATCAACCCCCACCTTTAATGGTAGCAAAGCGAGCGTGGGATCAGGGAGTTGGTGGTTTTAGATCCCAGCTGGGAACAGAGACCGAGACATGTTCTCAGTGCTCGATCACCTGCTGCTGTTGATGTGCTCTCCATGTGAACCCCAGTGGTTTGTTTCTGAGCTGCTGTGTGGACAGCAGATGTCTGTGGTTGGATGCTACTAAATAGGAAAGCATAACTAAATGGGGCCGTGGAACAGTGCTGCCAAGCAAAGGGCACTAAAGTTCAACCAAATACACCCTTATTGGTGTAAACAAAGAAGCCTAAACCATTTGACTTTCAGCAGGGTATCCCTCCATCAGACCCGGTCTGCCGGTCTCTCCCGCTCGGCGGGGGGACGCCACATGGTGCAGCAGATGCTCTGACTCCTCACGCTCGCTATTCTCATGGAAATGGCCACGGCTGTCTGGCTGCATAATAGCGATGGTCCGAGCGTGTGTGTGTCTGTGCATGCGTGCGTGTGTCTGTGCACGCGTGCATGCGCGTGTGTGTGTGTCTGTCTGTGAAAGGGTGGCTGGTTTGCCTCGTGTGGTCGGAGGCTTTAAGTGAACCTATGAATAAACGGGTTGTTTAGGGTATCGTTTGTCTTGTGATTTTTAAAGGTTAAGCTCAAGACTTCGGTGTTTGAAAGTGTTATCTGTTGATTCTCTCTCTGGTCTGATCGGCAGATGTTTATCCCTTTTCTTGATTTTCTGCAAACCACAGCACAATGTGGTGAAGCCCTCAATGTATGTGAACTCCTTGTGCAGGGCAGTGTGTGTGTGCGCAGGTGTAGTTTAGATGTCCTGGCATCCCTGTTTCCGTCCCTGGCAGCACCGCACCTCGAAGGCTTCCTGACTCGGCAGGCAGCCACGGGGCAGCATATTGTCGTGTGTGTGTGTGTGTGTGTGTGTGTGTGTGTGTGTGTGGAGGGTTGTGATGGTGTGTGTGAAAAGGCCCCTTTGTGTTCCCCAACCACAAGTCTGCCCGGTGTGGTATTGAGCCGAAGTGCCAGGTTCAGAGGTCAGAAGCCCGGCAGAGGAAAGTGTGTGTGAGCTTGTTGTTCTGTTTTTGTGAGGACCAGTTAGCGTTTTAGACCCCAGAGTGAGGACTTTACGATGGTCCTCTGTTCTTTTAAAGGGCCATTTGAGGGGCCAAGAGGAGGGGCCCCAGGCAGAATCAGGAAATGTCGGGTTTTTCGAGGGCAGTAACTCGACAGGACTCAGACATCAAGTCTCAGTTGTGCATCAGCCCGCTCTTTCCTCTGGAGAGGAACTCTTGTGTCGGAGGAAGGTGATGGAAACCTATGTCTGATAAATTGTTGGGATTGTGTCCACATTAGGGGTGCCCCCCCGAAACTGGGTTCCAAATTCGTAAAGGCTGCCAGCTAATTGTTTAGCTGCCAATGCACTTTAAAGATTTTGTGACTTCTTGTATTACTGCTCGTGAAAGACTATTTGTTTACATACAAGAATAATAAAGCAGTGATGATTCTTTTCTTAATAATTGTCTTTTTCTCACAAAATAATCAAAAAGAACCGATAAGAGTATCGTTGACGGTACTAGTATCGTTAAACTACTAACGATACCCATCCCTGGTCCACATGCTGTCCACAGCTCACTGAGATCCAAACTTGGATGATAAAAAAAAAAAGTCACATTGAAAAGACAAGTGTGCTCGCGGCCGAAGCTGTGATTGTTTGGAAGGAGTTGATCAATAAGAAGTGGATTAGGAGGCAGGATTAGTTTCCATAGGCGTACTTTCTATGGATCGATGTTGGCGTGACTCATCTCCCACCCTACATCATGAGTTGTTCCTCCTCCTGGACTCCCACGCTCCTCCTCGCTTTGCGTCACGCACATACGCAGTAGTAGTGGACATAAACGGGCAGCGTGATCGCTCCGGGGTGCTTTCGGGGTAAAGCAAGTGTCATGACGTCCTGCAGGGCTTCAGTCTGACCCAGCATCTCTCACAAGCTCGCACACGTTTATGGTGTACGTTTCATTTCTTTTTCGTTTGCGTGTTGGAGCACAGATCTTCCTTTTGTAAGCTCTTTGTGAGTCGAAAGACCTTTTTGAAAGAGTGACGTATCCCATTGCATATTTCTAGCAAAGTCTAAAATATGAAACCTTGTTTTCTGAGAATTTGGTTATTTCCATCAATTATAAGTTGCTGCTTATGAGATGATGCACACATTTAGGCTGCAGTTATAGGAGTTCTGTAGAGCAAGGCACTAATATAGCCATGGTTAAGGGTTCAACTCCCTGTGAAGCTCAGTGGGGTCAAAACTCAGTAAAACGTCTATTCTAGTGGTTTTCATTGTAATGCAGATGACTCACGAACCTTTTTTTTTTTTTTATCACTCTCTCATTCTCATGCTTTTTGTGTCTCAACCACAGTTTGCATTTCAACTTTTTCACTCAAATAAACTAAACTCAAACTCCAAACCCTTAACATGGACCGCAGGGATCTAGAGGAGGACTGGGTGCTGACTGCGTCCAAACCTTCGCCGTCTGTTTGTGTCTGAGAGCTATTTTGGATTTTTCTTTCTGCATCAGCGTCTGTGGTGAGACATGTATCGGAGTGTTGACTGACCGCTTCCCGTGTTTTTGTCTTCTTTCGCCGCTGCAGGACAACATGCCTCAGACTCCACCGTTCACGGGTCAGCTGAACACCGGCGGATACAACAAAAACCTGTACCAGACCAAGGAGGAAGGCTACTCTGGCCTCTACTATCATGACAACAACCTGGCGTCCGGGTCCCTGGAGGCCCTCATTCACCACTTGGTCCCAACTGTAGACTATTATCCAGATGTGAGTATTGTTGTTTGTTCTAAACATTTCATCCCTGGTGGTTTCTCTTCCTTTGCATCAAAGTAAAGAGGTAACGACGTTTTACTTTTTGTTCTGTCTGAGCAGCTCTTGTGCTTTCAGACCCTCTCGGTGCCAACGTCTCTTTCCTCGTCTTCGTTTCTTCCTTCATCTTTCCTTCCCAAGTTTAGGAATAACATGTTTGATTCCCCCTTCTTCCTATTTATATATGTTACTGTTTAGGTATCATTCCCCCCCCACTGACTTCTCATTTCATGTGGCTTTAAAGCCCTTTTTCAAAGATAAATGATCAATTTGACACCATGAGATTACTTTTGTATTATACGTATTTTCTTTCTTCTCCACAGAGGACGTACATCTTCACCTTCCTGCTCAGCTCTCGTCTTTTTATCCGGCCGCACGAGCTCATGTCGAAGGTGTGTCACCTCTGCATGGAGCAACAGCGACTCAGCGATCCCCAAGCGGACAAGGTAATAATAATTCATTCTAGGAATCAGTGGTACGTTGTGGGCTCATAGCTGTGAACCCACTGCAAAATCTAGACATGTCCACATCCTAGTAGTGGTTCTGTTCACTCAGTCCTTCTGTCTTTCTTCTGCATTTTCAGATGAGAGTCAGGAAGAGCGCTCCCAAGATCCTCCAGCTGCTGACGGAGTGGACGGAAACCTTCCCGTACGACTTCAGAGACGAGCGGATGATGAGGAGCCTGAAGGAGCTGACCCACCGGCTGGCCAATGGAGACGAGGTTGGTCTTTTTAATTTTCTTCACGCTTATTCACACTAAATGAGTTAAGTAACAAAAGACTCGTCTGCTGATTAGATGATATGTTGTGGTGTTATCACAAGCCGCGGGATGCTGTTTTGTAGACCGCATGTGCAGCAAAGCTACAGACACAGGCAGATTATTTTGCAGATAGCAGTGGGGGGGGGGGTGTATCTCTGGCAACAAAGCAGTTTTTGAGGCTGGCTGAGTTGAGAGAAAAGCCCTATTGTTCATTGGCTAGGTGGCTCTATGTGACGCTCCTTCCTGGGCAGCGTTTGAATAGTTTCACTGCTGCAGAGCTGAATGTCGCCGGCTTAGCGCGCCATCGGCTTCTGCTGCGCTGTTTGGATCAAAGTTGACTTAGTAGGGTAGAACTGTTTTCTTTTCTTTTTTTTGTCCTGTAGCCTCTGTTATCTTTGCTGCACATGCAGACCCTCCACTGTTGGGACATTTAGACACAGACAAGTTGTTTTGACAAGCATTGACTCGTGCTCTTGTGTGCCATGAAAGGAAATGCAAACGCGACCAAAATGATGACTTTAAAAATGAAGTCACATCCGTGCACCTCAAAGGAAACGCTACATTTGTGGTGGCAGAGGATTGATGGGTGGCGATCAGCTTAGCAGGAAAAAGCAGCTAGCCTGGATAAATAGTGGAACAGAAAAGTTTTACAGGAAGTTGTGTGGTGCAGTTATTTCTTGCCAGCTGTTTTCTCCTGCCTCCCAGGATGTTAGAGATGTTCCGATATCATCTTTTCCTGACCAACCCGATACCTAAACTCGGGTGTCGGCCGATACCAAGTACCGATCCGATACCAGTGTGTTAAAAACGTTAATTATAATTATAAAAATAAGTTTTCAACAGCTTTGTGCTGTGATTGCTATCATTGTTGCCTGGCCTGGCTCAGGTTAAACCCTCCGTAAAACGTGATCAAATACCTTCTCAGTACACACTTTCAGTACGGATTTGCGCAAGATGTAAGGATTGGGTAGCGAGTGACATGTGTTGTAAACGAGCTGATCAATGATGTGATAGATCGGTACCTAGACTCTAATACTCATCGATACCCATCATCATTTTAGGCTGTACCAGAGGCATTTCTGATACTGCTATGGGTAAAACTCGACAAGATATGCTAAATGTACCCCTCAAACCATCATCTTAGTGGAAGTTCTCCCGTTCAGTCTTCATCTTTTACCTCTAATTGGGTTTATTTTTGCTATACATCAAATGTTTTTCACCTCCATGTCACCAGACATGGTAGCATTCCTTCACTTTTCTCCAGTCTGGACTAATAATTAGGTTAGCCGTCATGAATCGTGGTTCTTTCAGTGCATGTCCCAACGGTTCACATGTTTTTTTCGTGTCCTCTACCGAGGAATTAGTTGCAGGGGGGGGGGGCTTATTAGGACCAGACGGTGATGGAGAACACAAGCGTCCATCTGTCCCGTTAGAAGACGTCCCTCCTTTACTGCTCAGCACAAGAAAAACACAACCCACCCATCCCCACCTGTTTTTAATGCAGGTTTCACATGACTCATCAATAGTACAAGCACGAGTATTGATCCTGATTTAATCTAGAAATCAATGTGTCTCACATGACAACTGGACTCATTTACAGCGCCCCCATGTCTGCTCTCTTTGTGCAAACCCCCACCGGTGTAGAACACATGTTGACTGGCCTCCAGTAACACACATTCCCTCAGTCAGAGACACGGAAGCTGCGTTGTGCTGGTCACACAAACATCTTTTGATTTCACAGTAGAGCGGCTGCAGTCGGCATTAATGCCTCCTCTCAAAAGAGACTTTTGAGGGTTGAAATCAATTCCGTCCTTGAGGCAACAGAAAGTCCCGTAGCACAAAGATCCCCTCGTTCTGTCCCTTGAGGTGACATCACACTCTGTACATTTAACAAGAAAAGATTACAAGTGTCTAAATAATTGAAAGGCACAGGTGTTTTTCTAATTTACCTTTTTATTTTTTTACAACTTGAAATCCATAGTAATTTGAACACCACAAGGAACGTAAGCGGTCAGATATTTCAGTTACAGATGGGTAACAAATTATGAGAAAACGGCAACATGAAGTGGTTTTATTAAGCTGCGTTTCCACCAAGCAGTTCAGTTTGGATGGTACCAAAAGAACCACTCCATTCTTGGTACCACCTTGGTCGAGGTTCCAAGCATTGAAGATGATCAGCAGCTCTCACTGAGGGGGTATTATCTGCAAACAGAGAAACAAACCCGGTACCAGAAGTGAGTCTAGTGGAGCAGAGTCCTACCATGCAGCTCTTTGGAGGGGCAACTTGCTGTTGTATTGATCTGCAGTGATCCTTAATGTGGACCCAAACTATGCCAGGAAATGATTGCCCCCCCCCCCCCTCAAAAGTCATTAGACAGCATCTTCAGTAATTTAGTAGTTTATTCCGGTAACGTCTTTAATCTTTCCCTTTCGTTTATTATCTAACACACCTGTTGGAAGCTAAATTGAAAGTGATTGCACCCAAAGAGTTGCTCATGATCCCTCGTTGCACAGAAAATGTGTGTACAAGTACAAACACGATAGCTCTGGTAGGTGACAGTTGAACCAGACAGTTGGTCTAACGGGCAGATTGCGAAATATATTCAACTTTTGCTTTCAATTTCTCTCTTTATAAAAGAGACTCTTGTGTGACTTCTTGAGTTGCTCTGCTGTTGGGTTCTGTTCTGGCAATTTCACAGCATCCGCACACCTCAGCAATACATCTGGTTACGAGAATGTAATAACTCAAAAATACCACGAGTTTCCCTCAATGCATGGACGTTTCTTTATGATCTTTCTGGGTAACATAATGCCCTCGAATGAGCCCGTATTCATTGAAAAGATGTAGATCCCACACACTAGATGTATGTGCTGTGTTGACAAAGCAACCTTTTACAATACTGTTCAACACCCTGCGGTTGTGCTGTGACGTCATGTAGGCCACAGATATTGTGCTCATGATTAGCACAGCGTGACAGACAACGGTTTGTCATATGAAGCTTTGGTGCCTCGGGTGTAAAAAGCTTGCCTTAATCAAATGTTGAGGAAGTAAGGTCGTGATATTGTTCATTCATATATCCATATATGATAACTTGTGATAATACAAATCGATTCCTCGCTCTGGATACTGTGGAAGCCACGGGACATTTCTGCGAAGAAGTCTTAAGTGTAAGGAATCGGCTCCGATGGCAGCTGGTTCGGTTCAGAACTAATTTGCATTCATGCGTCTCACAGATTCTCCAAATCATGTTGTGAGAGCAAAACACAAAGGTCGGACCGTCGGCAGGTCTTGAGTACAGAGTTAAACGTCTTCAGAGCGTCGACCGCAGCGCTCTGGGAAAGGGTTTTGAGTCCAGAATAGACGTCCCGAACATCTGGTCAAAGTGGTGTCCAGACCACACTCAAAACATTCAGGGACCTTGATCCCTGAAGGAGGACTGTCATTATGGATGTGGTTGGATATATAGGGAAGCAGCAGTCGAGAAGAAAACAAGCGCTTTGATCGTGATCTGACCTCATTTGATGGTACAGAGTTCCTGCCTTCCCTCAAAATGTGCTGTTTTTTATTTTGCACTATGATTTTTTTCTTTTCTTTTTTTTTTTTTGCTTGGTTATGATAAGTTTATTTAACAGATGCCACATTATATATCCAGTTTAATGTAAGGCAGATAGTTAGAAATTAGTTAGTTAGAAATTCTCTCAATCCAATCCAAAAACATAGAGGGTTTGTTGTTTTCTAAAAAAAAAAAAAAGAAACGACATTAAGGAACTTAATGCAATGCAGAGCTATTAAGCATATACATTGGATTGATTTTGTTAACTTTAATGTACTTGAATTGTGCAACATGCAGCTGTATTATCTAGCAAAATAGAATTCGGGACTAGATATTGGCAGATACTCGGTATTCAAAGACTCTGATCAGGTGCAAAAAACTTGATCGGGACATCCCTACAACATGCCAGTGCATCTCGGGTGATTGGGTGGTATTTCTGCCCCATCGTGACTTGGCAACATGTTGGTAGATTAAAACAATCCTATCCTAAATAATACTATCTGTTCATTAGTGCTGCTTGGCTAACCTGCTAAAAACAGCCGGGCCTTCTTGTGTGGGTCAGGTGGTGCTCCACAGGAAGTAACAGCTCTCAGGCCAAGAAAAACAGGACCTCCGGTGATACGATGGCACGAGGCGACCACGCGCTCAGTCCTGTGTACAGAGCAGCCGTCTGCCACCTCGGGATCACTGCCAGGGTCGATGGCGTTTGCCCCTGCTAGGCCCCCCCTCATATGGAACGCCAATAGTTTTGATGAACAAATGTGACTCCCTCTGCTCAGAAATGTCAGGCACGCTGTTGCCTCCAAGATCTGTGACTATATTTACCCCGACCCTGGCCCGTCCTCTGTTTTGTAGTGGGGACAGAAGCTAGGGCAGATGGCTGACTTTGAAGTGGCGACTGGAGCGATTTCCACTGGTGGCGAGTCTCACTGTGGTCCAAGTGTGCCGGAGCGCGGTGAAGCATTAGCTGAGTGTGTAACGCTGTTTACACTCGCATTACAATGTCTCAATGGAGATGTTTCATTTAGGGCTGCGACTAATTATTATTGTCAGTGTATTTTAATCTCCATGTTTTTATGGATTCATTTTGGATTGAAAGAAGGTCCATCATACATTCTGGGACAAGATGTGTTAAATTGCTCACTTTGTCCACTCCTAAAAACCAAAGATCTTACGTTGACAATCATACAAAATGAGAAAAGCAGAAAATCCTCACATTGGAGAAGCTGGAACAAGAAAGATGTGCATGTTGATGCAGTTTTGCATGATTTAATGACTTCAACAGAAAATGATTAGAAGTCCATTTATGTATTTATTTAACATGAATTCCATGCAACTAGTGCTGAACTACATTTTTGACACAATCGATTAATTGCGAAAGATGAACTAATAATGAAATGTATCATTAATTACAGCCTTCAAAAATAATCAATGACTTCTGTGCACCTGGTTAAGGAGCAGAGAGTAGTTTTCTCTCTGATCTCCAGTTCGTCTTGACTTCTATTTGAATCCTCGTTTCTTTTCATTGTTCTTCTCTCTGACGTGGGCTCTTGCAATCACCCTTTGCTACAACTGCAATATCCTCCACAGAGCCACAGTGGATTGGCTGACATGCGAATGTGTCTGTTCATGTGCCATCACCAGCAGACGGATGCATTTGTCACGCCCTGAGGAGTGAATTTTCCGAAATGGTTCCCCGCCTTGAGTGATGGGAGTCCGCTCACTTTTCCCCAAGGCGAGGTCTCGTCCTCATACGTGATTGCTGTCTTGGCACCGGGCCTCCACGTCCATTGTAATGTTTCTTCCACACCGTGTTGGAACCATAGTCTTGTTTGTAGAATCTAGATTCTGGAGGGTTGAATTGGCAGAAAGTTCCAGGAGAAGGGTTGTGGTCGTGAGAAAAGGGGCCTCGTCACCCCAGATTCTTTGAGCAGCTCATACCGGTGGTGTGGAACGAGGCCACGAACAGGATCCTGCATGTCGAAAATCAAACGCTCTTGTCCTTCTCCCCTCTATAGACCCTCTTGTGAAACTTCTGCGCTAATCTGTGTCCGTGAGGAACCACTTATCTAATTGTGGCCTGTTTGGAGTCCAGGGGAAAGGTTCAAAAGAGGACGACCTCTCGACCTCTTGAGGGTCTAGTGAGCCGAGAGTCCTCCCTCTGTCCCGGTTGAGCTGAGGCGTCTTAATGAGGCCGGCAGGAAGAGGCTTGCATAACATTGCGAGTGACCGTTCCCGGTGCATGACCAGAAGGATCCTTTTCTGCAAGATAAATACTTAAGAGGCGTCACATTTTGAGGGCCGTTCTGTGGTTTGAGGCTGAGCGCTGGCATCAGTTTGCAAAGTTTGTTTCTGCTGACACGGAGTCAACATGTGCAGGTTGTAAATTCCAGTGAGGTTGTTATCGCCCTCTGCCACAGATGAGTGGCTAGGGATTAAATAAAAGCGGCTGCATGCATGCTACTGGAGATTCTGGTCAAATTTATATCACACTCAGTTTCTCATCATCTCTGTTATAGTGGTCCTTATGCCCTCAGTGATGTAGCGGTGTCCTAACAGCGAGTGTCTCCATCAGGTTTTAAACCAGTGCGGAGCCGGAGAATGGGAAAACAAAAGCATAGCTCGTGGTTATTTAGATGTCCTCAATGAGTTTGTCGGAGAAAGAACTATTTCCTGAAGGTGGTTATGGAGGAATATGTTGGAGCCCCAAGTGAATTAAATGGAACTCTTTTGAAGCTACTAAACATTGAGCTCTAACCAACTCTCTTCTTTCTCCCCTTCCCTTTGTTCTATCCTTCCTCCATCCGTCCACCAGGTGTACAGGAAGGCGGTGGGCCAGATGAGCCAGGGTCTGATCAGGAGGTTGACGGTGCTCAGCCAGTACGAGGAGGCGCTGGTTAAGATCAATGCCACGGCGGCCGAGCGGCTGACGGCTCTTAAGGCGAAGCCCCAGGCGTCCATCCAGAGAGACATGCTGTCCATCTGCAACGACCCGTACACCGTCGCCCAACAGCTCACGCACATAGAACTGGTGAGGGCAATACAGAAGTTGTGGGAATTGTCTTTATAATTGTTTCTTTTTAGTCGTTTCTTTTGTTGACAGTTCCCATTGATCTACAGAAGCCTTTGGTTGAGCCTCTGCCCACAAGGCTAATCTTCATCGCTCACATCTTAAAAATCAGTTTAAATCATCAATCATTTGTTGCGACGCGTCAAACCAGATTAAGATGTAAACGCCATCTCCCAAAGAACAATCGGAAATGTCTCGCACTCATATCGGCACATGAGCCAAAGAGAATAAAAGCAGATCGATGCTGGGGAGGAGAAGATGTGAGAGACGGGAGAGCTGACGCGTATGATGGCAGTGTGGAGGTGGACCCGAACGCCATGGCTCCGCCCACATCCGACCCACCACAGCATTGATTTTAAACAGCTGTGTTTGACCACAGCTTTATATTCATTACATGTCAGTTTGCCGTTGAAAAAAGAAATTGGTCAATCTGGAAAAGCCGGAGGTTGATCAAAGGGTTTCTTTCAGAACCCAAAAGGTCGTCTTTCATTTACTTACAGATTTGACTACAGTAGAAGGTGCACAGGGATACTCTAATATCAAAGTATTTAATGTTCTACTCCAACTGTGATCCACCAGAAACCCCCAAAAATGTAGCGTACTTAACTCTAGCGTGGAATCTTGGCTGATTTAAAAACACCATGTGGATCAGAGGAAGTTCAGGTTTGAGACTGGAATGAAATCCCATGAAATATCACTGGTGCTTGATTAATTATGTAATCTAGTCACAGCCTCTTGAGTATATTTGCATAAAGGTAGGTGATTGGAAAATAAAGCGCATTCTATTTAGCAGAAATTTGCCTAAAAGTTTTGCTACATTTTAATGTAAATGCTTCGGTTCTACCATAGAAATGATCCATTAAGTACCCTCAGCCCCAATTAACTCTTGAATTGATTGAACGGCCACAAGTGACAACTGGAGGATAACAGTAAATGCTAAAATGTAGGTTAACAATAGTACGAGAAAAGAAGCCAGAAAGTCAACAAAACGACAGTCTATGTAAAGTTGGCCAACATCAGCCACCTGAAGCTTCCCTTAAGATTCCTCAAATGCCATTTTTAAGTCAAAGGTGTCAAAGAACATTCCTCAGCATTCTTGACCGAACTAAAGATGGATGCAGGGAGTTGATTTTCCCCTTTTCCTTCCTCCCTCAGGAGAGACTGGGCTACATCGGACCTGAGGAATTCGTCCAGGCCTTTGTACAGAAAGACCCTCTGGACAACGATAAGGTAACGTCTGCACGCTCTTCTAAGAATAAATCTGCTGATAAGAGAAGCACATGCATAGTAGTTATGTGATCTCTCCTTGGCTGTAACCCCGCGTGCAGACCCGACCGGTCTACGCCTGCCGTTGGTTTAGAAGCGCGTTGGCCTAGTTTCTCCTCCAGACGGATGTTAAGTTTACACAACACACACACACAGAGACAGACCGGCCTCTGCACCGGTCAAAGTGAGGTCAAGTGATTTCTAGACTGTAGCAGCAGACCAAATATCCGCCCTGCGCACGCACACACACACACACACATTCAGAAACTCAGACACACCTCACTGACAATTTCCTCAAATCATCCCATTGTGTGGACGACGTGGACATTCATGCATCTCATCTCCTAGCAACCACCGCAGCCAAGTGTTTATTTTTTAGGAAGGGGAGTTTGTGAATGTGTCTCTCTGGCAGTGGGCTCTCTTGTCTGGCGTTTGGCTGCTAGGCAACAGCCCCCCCCCCCCCTTGAATTTATTTGGTAAAGCGAGGTGATATTTGGGGGGTGGGGGGGGTTAAGGCTGCCTTTGTGCCTCGGGCTAACCCGCCTCGTAGTCCAGCAAGCCACTTGGAAAAGACGAGAATGCATGTTTAAAATGCGACGCGTCCACTGGCGGGAGACACTTGACGGGGGCGAGTGGCGTAAGGCCAAAGGAATGTGTGGAATTGGATCAAGAGGACTCCACACAAAGGACCAGCATGCATAATGTGAATAACATTGGCCACTATTGTGCTTGTGGAAGCAGAGTGAAGTTGAGCGTGATTGGAGTTTATTTTTTATGTCCAGTGATGCATTGACTGGGGAGGGGGAAGCCAATATCAGCTTTATTTATCCAGTTCAGTACTATTTCTTTTCTTTTTTTTGTGCTTTGCAATTAGCTCACATGCTAATTGAAAGTCTGTTGTTGTTGTTGTTGTTGCAGAGCTGCTTCAGTGATCACAAGAAGGCCAGCAACCTGGAAGCTTATGTGGAATGGTTCAACAGACTCAGTTATCTGGTGGCTACAGAGATCTGCATGGTGAGTAATGCACATGGAGAAGAAGAAAGAAAAAACAGAAGATTGTGCTGCAAATACGGATCATTTTCATCAAACTAAAGCGGGAAACATGCCCGTCGTTCCCAGAGCTCAAGATGACTAGTCAAAAAACGTTTGTTTTGTCCAATAAAAAGTTAATAAAGAAATGGGGAAAAAACACATTTTAGAGGCTCAAAACAACAAATGTTTGGTCGTGCTTGAGAAATGACTTAATTCTGAAAATTGTTGATCTTGCTGCCACTGGACATAGCAGGAGGCAAAGGTTGTTATTATTATTATTATATTATCTAACAAAATATATTCAAGATTTATACAAAAAGAAAAGCTACAAATCTTTACGTTAGAGAAGCTGCAACAACTCCCGTCTTTTGCTTTCAGATTTTTGCTTAATAAATAACTTAAATTGATTCAATATATATTTTTTCAGCATTAAAAGGGTAAAAAAAGCAACAATACTGCCTCAAATACTCAACAAACAAAACTCAAAATATCCCATAAAGTACAAGCAAACATCAGTACTTTCTGCGTTGCACTTTAATGATAATACACTTTTAGTGTGTTGATTTCCAACAAACCTATTTTCCAGTTTTTTTTAATGTTCTTCATTTTGTTAACAGCCCGTGAAGAAGAAGCAGCGAGCTCGAGTCATGGAGTTCTTCATCGACGTGGCGCGCGAATGCTTCAACATCGGCAACTTTAACTCCCTCATGGCCATCATATGTGAGTCCTGTTCTTCTTCTCCAGCTCTCTGTGACAACACGACGTGTGATTTATTCTTTTATTCTTCTGTCAGTCAGCGCTGCTGAGTGCTCTCTGCACTTGTTCCCTCCCATCTGCGCTCCGGCTCCTTCTTTCTGTCGTCAGTAAATCAGATCAGCGTAGGAAACGCAATTTGTTGTTCAGCGAGTAAGCTGTCACGACGTTGTCCCAGTTCATTTCCAACGTGCGTGATTTCCTTCAGTCTAATGATGTCAGTGAGGGAGCGGAGCAGCAGTTCATGCAGATAATTGTCTCCGTGGCAGCTTCTCCCCGTGGCCTTCTGGCATTTGACTACTTTGCAGAATCACTCACACAGTATCATGGATACTGCTGGAACGTCACGTAACAGAAAACATTACCGTTAAATACTTGTAATGCATGCGTTGTGAGAGAGAAAACGTGACGCTCCGGCGGCACGTTTGCCCCTTTTCTGACACGATGCTGTTCGTGAATATATGATCAATAAATCAACAGATATTTGGACAATTATTATAATTCATTAACGTACAAAACATATTATTAATGTCTTCTCCTCAAAGTCAGACACCATTCAAACTCAACACAAACAAAATAAAACTCATCAGAACCGTCCAAGTGAGCTCTTTCACTGTTCCAACAACAGTATTAAAGAGAGACAGAATGAGTAACGGATATAAAAAAACACATTTTCACTGTTTACTTTGTTTGATGTTAAAACGACATTCTCGTCTTTTTTTCTTGTGTTTTCCTGCGTTTAAAGAACCCACTTATAGGCACTAACTTTGGTGGGATAGAAGGGTTTTATAAAAACAGTTATGGCTGAAAAGTTTCTGATTGAATCAAGGAATCCTGAAGGAGTTCTGACTCATTTGACCCATACCCAATGCCACTTAACCCCAAACTGCTCCAGTGGAGCTTTTCAGAGGCCACAGATTAAACTCTAGTTTCATTAAGCAGCTTCCAGATGTGAATGTGTGTAAATATGTACCTTTTTAAAATAGATACTCCACGCTAAACCAGCCCGCTTAGATAAAGCTATAAAATAATTAAGACACGTGGAGCCCGAAAGCACCTCAGAGAGCTCGCTGGAGGGTCCAGCCGCCGGCCTCCAGGAGATGTCCCAGTGTTCAGAGGAGAGGGCATCTGGTCATCCTCACAGGCCTGAGGGGGGAGGGGGGGAGGATCTGTACGTCCAGGGCAGAGAGGTTGTGGGGGGAGGCAGCTGGAAGAGGACGCAGAGCAAAGCATCTAGGCAGATGGTCAGCACTGACCAGAGAGAGTGAGAGCACACGAGGGAGAGTAGAGTAGAGTAGAGTAGAGGAGAGGATACTAGAGTGCCAGCTGTTCTCCCTCTCTTTCTCCCTCGAGAGCGAGCGAAAGAGAGAGAGAGAGAACGCCACAGGCTCCACCAGCCTCGTCTCCAGGGAACCACCCGGGTTAGACAATGTATTAGTGATCTAATTAAAGGGTTAGTCCCCCCAAATTATGAAAGCAAATTCACCTTTTTATATAGTCTGCCACATAGTTTCTGGTTCTTAAAGTTAAGTATTCGACATATTGACACCCGGACCCACGAACACCAGAACCCTAACCTGAGATATAGATCAGACTGCAGTTAATTCGCTCGTGTCCTGAATCGGTAAAGACATCAAATGTAGATGGAAATCTCAACTATCTGCATGACTAGATATCGCTAGAATGAAGATAAAAACACTCTGTCAGCGCCTCTTCTTCTTCTGCGACATTGTGTCGGCGCTGAACAGGAGAAGACATCAAAGATATAATAATGTTGTCATAAAAGGGGAGTGTGTGTCCCAGCGGGGCGGCAACCACAGCCAACACCTGTCCCCTCTCACACATGCACACGCACACGCACACGCACACACACACACACACACACACACACTCTGGTGTCTTTGTGAGTGGATGGAGGTCGAGACTCGATCTGACAGACACCGTCACACGTCCGCCGTGGCCGGACTCTCGTTGGTTTCTTTCGCCGGGGGCGCTGCAGCGTCACGTTAAACTCAAACCGTCCCCTGGCAAACGTGCAGGAAAGGGAAAAGCTGGAGTTCTTATATCACCGTGTGTGGATGTGACTTCCTTTTGTGTGCTCGAGGGTTGTTTTTGTTGTGTTGTCGCTCTGCTCTGACGGTGACCCCTCGGCCTCCTGAACCTGCACCCCACACACACACACAGGATTACCATATGGGAAGCAGAGTGCTGGGAGGGGAAATGAGGCGTGTGTTAACTCCATTGTTCCTGCGGCCTTTTTGCCTCGCTGCATCAGAAGAAACGACAGTGGAGAGAAGGAAAAGGGGGAGGTGGAGCGATGTTAAAGGATGACTGCCATGGGAGGAAGGGTGGTGGGGGGGGGTGTCTGTCTGTCTGGCTGAATGGGGAAAATGCCATGTGTTAAATGAGATCATGTTTGGGTGTTTCCACGGATGTGTGATATCTCTCTCATTGTCTTATTTGTTTTCCTTGCAGCTGGGATGAACATGAGTCCGGTGTCTCGGCTCAAGAAGACCTGGAATAAAGTGAAAACGGCCAAGTTTGACATCTTAGAAGTGAGTTTGCATGAAAAAGGTTGAACACAAATGTGCACATGTTTGGTTCTGCAGCACTTAAGAGAGACAAGGTCCTCAGCTTAAAGAATTTTAGATATAATGGATCTTCTACGGAGGAACAACTTGGCTAGAATCTGCAGTTTTCAAACATTTTCTGTCCTCGTCTCTTCAGTTTTTCATTGTCCGACACATGAACTCTGTGGGTTTCTGTTGTGCGTGACACCGATGACTAACCGCAGCCTGGGCGCGTGGGGGAGCTTCTTCTTTTGCTCTGTTTTGTTGGGTTGAGTGCGATGACAAAGACAAACGCAGAATATTTAAACATGGACCTGAGTGGGAGAGCCCAGATTTGACTGTGACTGTAGAAGCAAAATTGTAAGGCGACAAGAGATGAGATCAGCTTTTTTTGTGAGGAATAATTTTCCCAAAGACAAACATTGAAAATCTCCGACATATCCCCGTTTCCTACCAGCAGCCTCTCTGCAGACATGAAGACGCTGCAGGGAAGATGCTCTCTGAGCCCAACAGGCCGCCAGTCGGTTCCTTTTTGAACGAGGAGATCTGAGGTGCAAACGAGTCGGTCTGGGACTCGGTTCTTCAGGTTCCCTTTGCGTCCCGCCGGAGTTCATTTCTCTCTCGCTGGCTCAGCTCTTCACTCATTTCAATCCATAACTTAAATATGAATTATGGGAAAATGTAAAGTTTTCAGAGGGGAATGAAATCCTCACATTGCAGAAACAGAAACCGGCTAATTGATACATTTTTGATGAATTAGCGATTTTGAAAAACCTAATAAATGAGTATTAATGTATCAAAGTAATGTATTCTTTATCTGTCAGATAATCAATTTGCGAATCATTTCCAACTACGTAGTTTATGAAATTAAGACTTGGCAAAAAAAATCTATTTTCAAAAAGTCCCTCTGACTCCGAGTCGAAGCATCACAACAGGAACTAAACTTTCAAGGCGGTAACACGACTAAATGTGTTTAATCGACCGCTCGCTGGCTCCTCGAATCCACTTTCAGCCGCTCTGCTCACCTGTTTGTTTGTTTGTTTGTTTGTTTGCGGAGCTTATCCTGTAACCAAAAAACTGACACCGTATTCTTCCCTCCATAATAGCACCAGATGGATCCTTCCAGCAATTTCTACAACTACAGAACATCCCTGAGAGGAGCCACACAGCGGTCGATCACCGCCAACAGCAGCAGAGAGAAGGTGAGGCCTCAGCGCAGCAACACGCACCAGACGACTGGTGTTATATACTCGTATTATATATTCTCAATGTTAGAATATAGTCAGAACTTCTTCCAGTTGGTTCACCTGTAGTTCAGCTCTCATCTAGATGCACTGATTCGGGCATAAATTACATTTACATGCTGGCATTTAGATAAAGAAACCGTCCCCTTTATACGGTTTACGTTTCAACACCCAGAGCCACTCGGTGAATCATCGAGTGGTTTGGTGTCTTGCAGAAGAGCACTTGACGGCTGCTGCAGGAATCTAAAGTGACCTCTCTATCTGATTACCGTTATGTAAAAAGTTCAGATTGTTATCTCAACAATTTTTTTTTTTTTTTTTTTTGAAGCAAAGGAAGGGAGAGCAGCGCAACGAACCACAGCTTTGCTGCTCGTCGGGCCTCGTTATCGTCTTAGAGCTGCTCCCATCGTGTTTACTGCGTCGTGGACTTGAACGGGGGACAGAGGTTGCGTAACAGGGGGTTAAGCGGGTCAAGATGTGAGGAGGATCTTGGTTTCCTTCCATCGTCAAAGCACATTGTGTTCTCCTCACGAGGAAGAACGCATCGAGAGCCAACCGGCACAGACGTCAGTGGTCCGTCTCCCCCTCAGACATCATGTGTTGAGTACGCGTGTTTACACAGAGACAGAGTGTACTGTCAATATGTATCCGACTCCCCGAGGCATGCGAGGGATCCTTTTTTTGGAGCTCAGAAATGCAAACATACTTGGACAAGAGGTCAGGGGGTCGTGAAACGGAAAGTTCCCAAGAAGTCTGGTATGTTCCTCGCCCTTGTGACCTCTCCTTTAAGGGAGGGGCTTGTTTATGAGCTGTGCTGTTGACTGTGTGAGGAGGATCAACAGAGCCAACGCTTGTGCTCGTTCATCCTGTTTTTGTTTTTGTTTTATTGCTGCGAGGACGGAAAGTTTTCAGTGCTCCCTCAGTTGTTGGCATGTTGATTCATCAGCTTGAAATAACCGATCCATCACATCAAGCAAAGCGCTGCTAATGTACTGTAGCAGCTCTCTGTCTGACACACTGGGACTCTGCTTCTGTTGTGTACACACAAGCTGCCTGCTGCCTAATGTCCACATTAGTAATAATAAAGTTGACTTATGGCACAACAGGTAAACGGTAAAGATTATCAGGTAACGAGAATAAAACCAAGAAAAATGAATATAATATCAGGATTACAATACGAGTAGTGAGAATGACTGCAGCCAATAGAAAACTAGGTTTTCTTATCTTATTTTCAATGAAACGTTCAGTTAATAAAATGTCAGAAAATATTGAATAATGCTCGTCACAAGTTCGCCGGGGCCCCAGGCGACAGTTGTTGCAAAAGGTTTAAAAAAATCCAGTGTTTTGCTTAATAGATGATCAAAGTTGCTGCCGATTGATTTTCTGTCTAAACTAATGAAATAATTGTTTTAGTACGTCAGCGAATGATCAAAAATAAAAGACTGCAACAAGAAAGAATGCTGAAATAAAGAAATGGACTGACAAACCCCCCAAATATGAATACAAATAAGTTTAAACATCTTTTGAACCTTCATCAAACACATAAATCCTGGTGAAGACGTGTGAGCGGCTTTAAATAGGACGCATCCTCTACAGTAGATCTATTTATAGGCCACACATCCAGACCTGCCGTCTCTTCTGGTTCCAGACACGCCCCCCTCCCATAGTGTCCAGCTGTGACAATGACTTCCTTTTTTTTTTTTTTTTTTTTTTAAATTTATCTAAAAGCAGAACATGCGTGTACGAGACGTGTGTGCACTCATGACAACAGTCTTCAGATGCTGCATTCACGCCGGCTCCTGTAAACAACATCCTGCTGCTGCGGACCCCTCGGAGGACACTCTGTAAAGACTTCTCTGACATGGAGTTAACTTCTTGTCAGCTGTTTGTTCAATGACAGCAATTTCACAGAGACGAGCTCACAATGCGAGTCGGCCGAGACCCGAAACATGAAAGGATTCGCTGGCTTTTGTGAAGAACTAAAGAGGACAGTTTGCGACATGTCGCAACTGTCACAATCACATTGACAGTTTATCAAATGCACATTTTGTGCATCATTTAGTCTGCTGCTCTCCATCTGGAACATTTGCACTTTTAAAAGCTCCGTCATGAATGTTTGATGATCTTTGGGGTGGAGATGTGTTCGACTGTCACCTCTCTCCTGGCGAACCCGAGTTTTTATATTTTATAGGTCACTGTACCAGATTGCTGCAATCTGTCAACACTGTGGAACAAAAGTGGTGTTTATCCATCAGCCTTAGCGACTGGCAAATGGCAGATTTAACCAGCCAGCCCGTTTGATTTCCCAACGGTTGATTCTGTGCCAGGGAAGAAAGGAAAACCCCCCTCGCGTAAAATGTACCGATATTTTTTTTTTTTTTGATTCCCCACCTTGCTCTCCATCAACGTCAATGTTTGTGCCCAGACAAGCAGTGACCTGAATCATTGTATGAGGGAGAGGATTAATTATTTAAGGACTGTAAAGGGGGAATTCTTCTTCTCTACTCCGGTCTCACTTGGTCCTGGGTGCATTGTTTTAGGTTATTAAAGGTTGTATTTGTACACGCTGCTACAGGCCTGGGAAGCTCTTTTCTTTTGCTGAACATGTTCATGATCAGAAGAGAAGAAGGTCTCTTTCTTCCCTGGAAACCATACTGAACATTATAAGAGATCCTCTATATCTATTGTAATCCTTTTTCCTTTGAATGAACGTTTATAGAGATCACACACCCGTGACTCACATGGAGTTCCCCCCTCATCTTCTCTGTGAAATGTAATCCCTTTCTCTTTCTGTTGTCTTTCAGATTGTCATCCCTTTCTTCAGCCTGCTCATCAAAGACATCTACTTCCTCAACGAGGGCTGTGCCAACAGGCTGCAGAGCGGACACGTCAACTTTGAGGTAAAGTTTTGAATTCCCCCGGAGGGAGTTTCCTCCCCGCCAACAGATTACACAGATCTTCTCTAGCCCCCCCCCCGTGTTACTATTTACTACACATGGTGACGGATTTGGTTTTATTTATCTCCACTTCCCTAAAGAACGTTAGAGAATGAAGAAGTGAGACCAGAGTGTTTCCATGGAACAAACACGCTGACCGGTGACCGAAGACTCCCAAGTGTTTCCACTGGTCTTTGGTCACAGCGACACTAAATCACGCACTATTTTAAGGTTTCATTCCATCCTGAAACTGATTCCTCCTCCTCTCCTTCCCTGTTATGACTTTCATAACACTACATTTGAACACATTAACACTTCAGGACGGCTGACTATAAGCAACCGGTCGCAAAACCTCATTTTATTTGAGTCGCCAAATAAATTAGCAGAAGTTCTTCAATCGTCTTTTATTTAATATTTATATCTGCAGTACACTTTTGGGCCACATGAGGGAGCCTGAATGCTGGTATTCTAAAAAAGATTGTAGCCTACTTAAGAAATGAAATCTAAGATAAGAAGGCTAGCGTTAAATCTGTTTGTTTTACTGATGAGAGGAAAAAAACAAAAGCTTGTTAACTCAACCCAAATATATTTATTTAGTCTCATTTATATTATAGTATTCAACATGCATAAATGTTTTTAATAACGCACAATAAACCAAAGTCGTGATTAACAAACTATCATCTCTTCTAAATGGCTGTTTTTTACGGTAATGCGGAAATCATAATAAAAATGGTCAGGGTCGCGATGGTTTGTCATTTTTAAAAAGTGTTCCCCTGCCCCAAAAAATAGGTTTGGGAAACACCGGTGTTGATTCCGTCTGAATATTAACCCGTTTTCTCTATTTTTGATTTTATTCCAGAAATTCTGGGAACTCGCCAAACAGGTGAGCGAGTTCATGGCCTGGAAGAAAGTAGAGTGTCCGTTTGAGAAGGATCGCAAGATCCTGCAGTACCTGCTGACGGCTCCGGTGTTCACTGAAGATGGTACGTTTACCAACCGATCAATCAATCAGCGATTCAAGACTGTTTAAATAAGAATATCTTCATGATGTACTGTTTCTTTACTTTCTGGCCAGGAGTTAGATGGTCAGATTAATAGCACGCTGTATGTGTTAACGTTGTATGTTGAAGAACATACAGACATGCTATTTAGCATAACTTATCATAAAGACTGGAAGTAAAGGGAAACTGTTTCGTTCACTCTCCAACGTTAAAAATATGCCAAACATCACCTCTAGAGGTCACTAATTCACACGTAATATTTAGTGTGACATGTCAATTTTATTTTGGTGTTTTTTTTTTACCACCGGACAGAAAACCGTTCGCTATTGTCCCCGTGCTCCCAGTCGCTGTGGTAATTGACTGTTGGCAGCAGCTTCATAATTTACTCGACTGTTGGATTATTTCTTTTAAATTAAGGCACTAAAGCTAAAAATAAGCTTAAAAAATGAAACATTTAGCTAAGTTACACGCTCATTAACAGAGTAACTTTGTCATATCGGCAAATACTCGACTACTAATGTTTAATAGGCTAAGACTTCTGCTAAGCTAGATGTCTGAAATCAAATTTTACTGTTTCAACCCACGTCGGATCAGTTTTAGTAACCTGGATTATTATTAGTTACAATAAAAGCAACACAGCACAGTGTTAACTAAATAAATCGCGTTAATTTACATCCTGTAAGATGATAATCAGAATACTGTCCGTGAGAGTATAGATGTGGAATGAAACATGACAATAAATAACAGTATTGTATACACATATAGTAGCTCACACACAACAGACTGACTCTTTTCCTGCTCGGCCTCAAACACTCGTACGTTGTTCTCGCCTCTCAAACCGGAGCGGCGCTGAGTTTCTTTCTCCTTTAATCCACATCAAAGTTGTGAGTCTCCGGCTCTTATCACCGTCTTATCAGAGAGGCGGGGGAGGTCTGTAAAATCCTCCTGACACTGAAGTGCACCGACCGAACTGACCAATCGGCCGAGAGCGCTCTGATCCTCCACAGCCGACGCTATCGGTGATAGTGAACATCCTCCTGTCAATCAATCTGTTAACGTAGACGGTGTGTGAGAAAGTGATGCCTTCCATTTTAAAATGTCTGTTTAAACAGTTTATTTCAGGCTCCACATTAAGTTAGAATCTAGTGGAACTACTTTCTTTTTGTTCCTGCGATGGTTTCGCTTGTTGACACTTCAAATATTTTACTGTTTTATTGCAACTTCAAGAGAGCTTCTTTTTCAGTTTCTGCAGATTTTGTTTGTGATATAACGAGATTGTCTAAAAGTGGAAAATGATTCTCGCCACTCATCCAAATTGTGTATTTTCTTTTGCAAAAACATTCCATTTATCACAGTAAAAGCATTAAATATGAAGAAAATACACAAGTAGGCTGCAGAGTCCTGAATATTATGAGCCCTTAACTTGTTCAAATAAGTCATTCTATAAAAGCTAAAGTGTCTTTGATTTCCCTCGTTGCAGCGTTGTACCTGGCATCGTACGAGAGCGAAGGTCCTGAGAACCACATGGAGAAGGACAGATGGAAGTCTCTGAGGTGTGTATGATTTCTCCCCCCCCACACACACACACACACACACACACTCGCCCTCGGGGGGCTTTGGAGTCTTTCAATCACGCCTGTCGGCTCACATCCTGTAGTGCTTCTCGACAGGCAGACCCAGAGGGATGTAGGTCACACTGATGCTGACCTGCACGCTATTCAATAAATGCGCACACACACACACAGACACGCGCTAAGCAATTGTGTGAAAAGGACATCAGTCATTTTCACACAATTGCATCTCCCCCCCACACACACACACACACACACACACACAGAGAGATACCCCCCCGTTATCACTCAGCACTCTGGACGTGACTGTTTGAGAAGATGGATGAGAGAAAATGGGCTTTGTTCAGTCGCCTCTAACTCGTGGAGGAAAGCCCCGGAGAGCTGACGGAGGGATATTTCCTCTCGCTTCAGCAGCTCACGCTGAACTTCAATTCACTCAAACTGAGTCGTGGACATTTTTTTTTTTTACAAAACGGGTTCTCCAGCAATCATGAGATGTGTCGGGGTGCATCACGTTTTAGTTCTTTAACTCGTCCAAACCCAGTTTCCCCACAGCTTTACTGATGCATTTTATACACTTTCTTTGACTGTGAAAATACACGAGTCAGAGCATGTAAAGCCAGAATTTATAGACGGTGATCACATGATATTTAAAGTTAGCAGTGATGCGGCAGGTTTCCAAAAACAGAAATATGAGTCAGATCCTCTGGCAGAGGTCGGAGGTGAGAGCATGTTTTGGACCTTTGAGAGTCGGGTGAAACCCAGCCAGGGTGAACCGCTCTGCTGTGTTTGTAGTCACGTTTCCTGGTTCCTGGTCGCCCGCCAAGCCTCCCTCCCCCCCCCTCCCCCCCCTCCCCCTGAGCTTTGCCTCCGCTGTGACACGATCTGTCACTTTATTCTGTCCGAGCTGCGTCAGCAGAACGTGTTGCTCTGATCGGAGAGACTCTGTTTAACGACCGGCTCTCCACACTCATCAACCCTAGAACTCCACTACAGACGAGCTGCGACGGAGATCGTGCTTTTTATAATCGAAACATTTCCACCACATTTGACTGATTTGTTGTTGTTGTTTAGAAACGATTGCTGGAAGGGAGAAAGTGAGAAGTTCTTAGTGATTGTTTTTGTTTGTAAGATTGAGTAAATTCTAAATGCACTGTAAAAGAAGTTGAGAAAACAACGTAAACAAGAGTTTTGAGCAAAACTGCAACCGCATCTTAAGCTGCTAATAACAATATAACATTAATCATTTGCTGCTTTTCAGGAACATTATCACGTAGATTATTTGTTGGCAACATTTTCTGTAGTTTTGCTCAATTCACTCAACTTTTTATGGTGCTTTTTCAATTTTTTTTTTCAATTTTCTCTCCGATGAATGTAGATTAATTTCAGATATTCTAAACCTTTGAGTCTCAGAAGTGGATTGTTTGGGGACTACTGAAGTAAATTAGCATCCTTGCTGAACTCCGTCATGTTTACGTCTTGTATTTAATATCGATGTTCATTAAGGTGTCCTATTCCGATCACATAAATGAATAAGTTGTATCAAAATATTAGTATTATAAGTTTTAGGAAGTTGCATTGAACTCATAAAAGTTCCCTTTAAAACTTCTTCACATTGTAAAAAATGTAAAATAATCAAAATAAATGACCCTGTGAAGAACATTCAGCGGATTGTGTTGCGGTGATGGATGTTTACGCATAAAACAAACGAGCATCTGTTTCTTTCTCGTCCTCACAGATCCGCTCTGCTGAGCAGGGTCTAACCTCAGGAGACCAGAGTGAAGACAAACCCCTGACAGGCGAGCCGGTCGACGCCGTTGTCTAAAACGAAGTATCCCCGTGTTTGAGGGGAAACGACAATCTCTACTTTGGCTGGCGAGGATCTTTTGTGCCCCCCCCCTTCAGATTTCTATTAAGCTCCTCCCCCTCTCGCCTCTTTGTGCTGTATATTTCAGGACAGCCGTTTTCTCCTCTTTGTATGACTTTGTAGTCTTTTTAAAAAAAGAGAAACGCTACAAACCTTCACAGTAAAGCTGAGGCTTCCTTCTGTGAGTCGCTGGGGTTGTTTGTTCCCCCCCGCTACTTTTTGTTTTCCACTAAAGCTACAAGGTTAGCCGCTGGTTGGCTAACTCGACAGAAAATGCTACTCACGCTGGTTCCATGAGCCAGCGTCATTTGTACGGAGAACTCATGAACTTGCCTGGAACACTGTTCATCTTCAAGCCAGACATTATTCCTAGTTTGTGTCTCTCGCGTCGTGTTTTTCTGAAACTTTGTGTTCATTGTGATGTGTAAGGAAATGCACTGGCTGCATTTTGAAGATTAATAAGAGTTTTTGTTTTGTTTGTGTAAAGTTTTGTGGTTTTCTTGAGCAGCAAGCGACACGTTGTGGTTTAACTGACACACTAAAAGGCTTCAGGCGGCTTTAAGTGTCTGAACATCTTAAACCTGTTTCCTCTGGACTTGGTGTTTCGGACGCTGTTCTTTTGAAGCCTTGAGCAGGGAGCCTGAATGGAAGATGTCGTGATAGTGTTTCCTCTTGTCCCTGATGATCAGTGTTGAGATGAGCCCCACTGCTGCTGAGAATATCAACTGGGCTGAAAACCATTCACTCTTTTAGTTCCTGCTCTAATGTAGACGAACCAGTGTGCTGGTGCTGCCCCCTGTTGGTTCAGTCGGATAAGTGAGTGTGCTCAAATAATGTGAACTGAGGATTTCTGTTTAAACATGCTAAATAATATCCTTTTTTATTTTTCATGTTATTAAAAAAAGTACAGTTTTCCTCTTTTTTAATTTTTATTTATAAATCTATTTGTGTAGTCGCATCATGTCCTCATGCCAATATTTACTATTATTTTGTTATTTAATATGGTACTAGCTCCAGAACATGTTTAAGTAGATATTGGCTTAACCATTATTTTTATATACGATGTTTGTATGAAACACTTATTTTTCGAGGTACTAGCTCAGAGGATGAAGTTGAATGACGGACGTGTGCTTGGCCTCGACTGCTCCTCCCTCAGCAGTGTGCTGTTGTGGTTTATTCTGTACATACTGTTTGTTTTCCTCCGTGTTCATTCATCTGCATTTTGACTGTTTAAATGGAAAAGAGGAACCGTTTATAAATGAATTGGTGATGAAAAGAGTTAATAAAAGGATGTTTAAAAGTATCAAGTGACTGTTTATATCATTTTGAATAGAATAAAAATGTTCAAGCTTTTTGAAACTTCATATCGCATCTCGGACTTCAAGCAATGGAGGTGAAGACACTGGAGAAATGTTCACCTATCAAAGAGTAGCAGTTTAGCTGCAGATAGATATCACACCAAGAAGTGACGTTCTAAATAAATAAGTATAATGTTTCAATAATAACTTTTCTTAAGTCATCTTTATGAAACAAGTCGGCATAGTATGCCATAAAAGGTCACAGTATAGTAGACATGTTATACTATGCTGTGACCTTTTTATGATGTACTATACTAGATGTTATTTACAGGAAGGAGCTCTGGTCTCTCCTGAATACACAGTGGTGTATAATAAAGCAGCATGTTTTCCATATGGGACGATAGATTAGCTATCATTCTACTTTCTCCAACACGTCCACACCCCAGGACAGAAATGACCTTCTTAACCAGTCTGATAGGTTTCTTCCTGTCAGCAGTGGAGATGCTGCAAACCAGCAGACCAGGTGTTCTCACACACTTCACTCTAACTTCTTCATGAATTTTTTCAACACACTATACTATGACTTTTTTCATGACATTTTTTGACTTTGTTATTTAAGACTTACAACACTACGGCTCTTTTAGGACTTTTTATGTACTCTTTACTATGACTTCATACATTTAAACAGTATACACACTATGCCTTTTTAATTCCATCTCCATGGCATGCTGTACGATGGTTTTTTGGGGGAGTTTGTGTGACATTTTTTATGGAATACTATATGACTTTTTAATGCCTTTTTTGACAGCGTCCCATACTATGACTTTTTTACGGCTTAATTAATTCCATTTTCACAGCCACAGTCTCGACACTGATTGGCTGGACTGTGACAGTCTACATCAGCCAGGAACAGACTGATGCAAAGCCTAACAGAAGGCTGGTGAAGTGGGAGTCAACACAGTCTGTAGGGGCATTAAGGTTCTGGATCTGGTGTGGGCTTCAAAAGCAAAGGTTCAGCCCTTATTTTTTTTTAAATCAGCAAATCAAAAAAAAAATCTCTAAAGAAATCTCAAAAGTGTCATGCAGACATAATTAATTATTCATCAGGGACCTGGAAAACAAACCCACTAAGTGAAACAGACTTATAAAAAGGCACACTAGTTATTCATGAAAATATTGTAAAGCAATATTAAAGACACTTAAAGTTTCTTTTTTAAATCATTTACAGAACTTTCTTCAAGAAATGAGAAATATAAGAGAGACAACATTATAAAATGCTCAGTAAGCCAAAACAAAAAACTTGATCAATATTTCATGAAGTCAGTGAGGAGAGACACAATAATGAGGAATTTGTTTTCTGTTGGAGCTAAATTTTCTGCACAGAAGCAGGAAATAAAAATGTATATTTGGCTCCACCAAGTGACCAGATGATGTTACTGCAGCTGAATTACACTTCTAGCACTCACAACAGTACACACAGATTTGAAGTAATAATGTACTGAGACGGATAGATTTATATGATTATTTATAAAAAATACATTTTAAAGCTGAACTGTGATTCACATGGTTAGTCACACTCATCAGTCGCACCGTTCTGCTCGCTTGTTGTGGTTTGTAACCATATGCGCTAAAAGCCACACCTGTCTTTTCCTCTGATGATGTGTGATCGTTCAGAAAGAAATTGAAATAAATAAAGAAATAGTGTCCTACCCTTCGGCATTAAAATGATTACTGAATTGGACATCCGTCATGTTTAGGATTAATTGTATACATTTAAAAATAATCAATGGGATCCAGAACTTATTATCCTATAATATTTATTCTAAATAAAGTAAGTACGCTATCATACTCTGCTGTTTAAAGTGTAATGCATTAGGGTTGAAATAACATATTAGACCACATTGTTTAAATATATGTAAAGTAACTTACAACAATAATGTTTAAATAAAACGTTGGATGCTCACAGATGTCATGTTGACTAATCTGTGGTCTGCACAAAATGAGCACAGGGGAGAAGAACGATGATCCATTATAAAGCTAACCATGTCGGCTTGTTGCCTTAATCTGAAGGCAAACTTGTCCCATAAGCACAAAATGACAACATACACTGACGTTTTTGCATCGTCATCCTCAAATCTAGTGGTAAAAAAAAAAATCATCATGCAACATGTGAAGAAAGGACCGTCAACAAATGTCCTGATTATGACATTCAAACTACATTTATGTCACAAAAACTGATGTCCAAAGATGCGCTGGACTATAATAGGACGGTTAACATTTAGAAAAACACAGCATCATATTATATAAAAGAGACCAATACAACAATCACTCTCTGTGGCATGAAAATATGACACTAAATATACAAAATTAAGCACCAACAAATCACACTAAAGCAGTGGTGCCCAACCAGGAGGCGTTGTATTGGTCATAACCCACAGACATGATAATGGATCACAAGAAGATATTGATGTGTTTCCAGAGGTAGGAGGCCAAACGGGATGAACTATGACCTTTAAATGATGCCAAGCTATTACATTTCAGCTACAACATATCAATATATGTTATCCTTTGGCAACTGGAGGTCAAAAACTATTGAGCAACAGACTGCACTGTGAACAACGTCGTGCATTTCAAAAGGCATAACCTCAAATTCTCACCATAAATCAAGGCTGATTTTGGAGTCTTGCAGCTGAACTAACCAGCACTGGGGGAGGGGGGGGGTCGTAAACACCGTAAACAAAAGAAGAGGAAACACATGTAAACACGTGGAGAGCGTGCAAACTACACAAAACAAAGCCAGCTGCCCGGCGGGTTTGAACCCAGACTTTGGCCAAAACTGTCAATTCTTCCAATGAGAACATGTGCTTTGCTTTGTCAGAGTGCCCTTGAGCAAGTCACTGCAGCAGAGAAGGCTTGTGAGTCAGCCTCTAGTGTGAACATGTTTGCTCATTCAGAATATGTCCTCAGATCATTTGCCAGCCTCTCAGATTTGCTTTCAGGTTCAGTTTGGGAGCCGGTGACCTGGATTCTTTTTACTTTGTTGTGTTCGAGTGCTGCAGATGAACCAGCTTTGGCCACCTGCCATTATTGTTCTGTGTCCGTCAATAAAACGCTGCTGCAGGCCAGGCTGCTCAGACATAAACGCACTGGGAAAACCAATTAATCATTCCTGGACGTGAAAGACTGCAGCTTTGGGTCTAGACTTTAGCTTGTCCCGAAAAAAATGAAATGCATGATATGAAAACAAGAGATGAAGACGATCAGATTAAAGGACTGCACTTAAATATCTGATACTAACTCAGCAACAATAGTTGTAGCATAGTTGCTGATGCTACAACTATTGTTGCTCTTCACAGCTGCTCAAATTAATGTATGAATCAAGACTACATTTTAGTGTCTTTCAGCTCTTCTGTTTTGGTTTTCTGGGCTGACATGTTACCGTTTTGGCTCACTCTCACCGCTCTCTGCAACATTTTTCGGACACCTGCCCAGCACCAAACTGTAGAACGACAAAGTGGAAGTGAAGAAAGAGGAACACCGAGCAGCGGAAAGCTAGATATTGTTTCTTAGGAGCTGGTGCAGAGGAAAGCGGAGTTAAAAAGAGAGTGAATATTTGGATTTCTAGGCTGCGCGGCCAGAAACACAACTCCAACATCAGTCATAATATTGGTCTGTGTTTGCTGAATGTGTTACCGTTTGAAGTCATGCTATGTCTGATGTTTTCTCTGGTTCTACTGCAACAAACAGCAACTATTGTTGCTACAAGCTAAAATAACAGGAATATGCAAAACACTAAAACAAAACCCAATAGTGGCACAAGTATAAGAATCCTCACAGTTAACTGACTAACGTCAGAAACACATCAACTTCTATCAAAGGTTTAACGTTAGCTAACGTTAGCCACCGTTAGCTAACGTTAGCCACCGTTAGCTAACGTTAGCCACCGTTAGCTACCGTTAGCTAACGTTAGCCACCATTAGCTAACGTTAGCCACCATTAGCTAACGTTAGCCACCGTTAGCTAACGTTAGCCACCGTTAGCTAACGTTAGCCACCATAAGTAAAGCTGTAGCAGCAAAGATATTGAGAGCATTGACTTGAAGACAAGCTTGTGTTTAGTTGCTTGTGAATTGAATGTTTCATTTATAAGAAATGTTTTGTTTCTTCTTTTTTTTTTAAAAAGGTACGGACCCTCACTTAAAAGGAATCTCTCTGATGCAAGATATTGATATTTATTCATTTATTTACATTCCTATTGAGATGACAAACTTATAGGCCAGCTATGAATCCTGCATGTTTGTTTATGTTGAATTACCTGCTGTGTTTTTTTCTTAACATAAAAAATATTGTTATTATTGTATAATTATTGTTTGGGATCGGTCCTTGTTATTGATGGTTAGCACAGACAGCTCTTGAGTTGTTTAAAGGTGGCCTTTAGGTTGCGTTAAGAATACAATCCTTTACATTGTTGAAATTCCTATTAATTAAAGGATTGTTTATTTCAGTTTAATGCTGATGTTGTGGTATATTTTTGTGTTATCTGTTTTATGTCGTTTCTCATTGTTGTCATTACTGCCTGGCCCGGATTCATATTTTTAACAATGTATAATCTCCACGGAGGTTTTCCTGGTTAATTAATTAAAAATATATATATTTTAAGTTGTTTCTTTTTTTTGGCCAAAATGTTTAAAGTTGACTTTACACGCATTCAGTCTTATTAGTAGGCAATGAATACAACGATGTCGAGTTACATAAATACATCATTCTTAATGAAACGGGAGTCTACGTCGCTCACACCTGACCTGCCCAAACACCGCTTGGAGCGCGCACGCGAGAACCCGCACAGCCTACAGGAGGAAAGAGAGCGCGCGAGAGAGATAGAGAGAGGGAGGGGGAGATAGAGGGAGGAGGAGAGGATGCGACCAGTGTTTGAGTAGATGGACCGTCTCTCTGCTGATGCTCGGATGTGCGGACACATCGTTTCTTCCTGTACATCGTCGTCCTTTCCCGTTTGAAGCTGAGAACTAAAAGCAGGTGAGATCTCTGAGATGAACACGGACTCATTTATCTGTGCAGAAGAAGGACGAGGCGGCGGAAGTTGCAGGTGCACGATCCCGTCAGCAGATGTTTTAATTCGTAAACTTAACCGAAATAGTTTTTAAATGGCATGCAATGAACAATGCAAAGGTTAGGATGGGGAGTACTATTATCGTGGGCAACGTCAGTGAATAGGATGCTGGACATTTGTTTAATGTAAGAGTTGAAGCTTTAAAACAAAACGGGAAAAAATAATAAAACAAGATGAATTTCGGAAGCAATTTTCTTTTCTAAACTGACGTCAGCATAATTTTGATTGTCAGAACATTGTTTGAGAACATCTGAAATCCACTCAGTGTATCGCAGCAGGAATGTGATGAATGAAGTCTACTGTATGTGTGTGAGTGGGCGGCAGTCACACAACAAAAACAGGATTGTTCTCGGACATTCCCCCCCGGATACACTCTCAATATGTGGACAGAGACACGCTCAATAAGATCCCTTTAAATGCAATTAAAATTGTTATCATTTAGATTATTTTTCATTTTAACAGCCTCTGTTTGACTGCCAGTGTGTGAGCCGATGGGGAGTGACTGTTGATGTAATGCAATACTTCCTGCCTCCTGAATAATAAATGGAGAAGACACACTTATTGACCATTATATACGGATTTGCTCTTTCTCCAGGTTTCTCTCCTCACAGCATCAGCTCTTTTGTTTGAATCCTGCACTCCCAGCTTCCTCAAACAGACCTTTCCATGCTAAATGTCACCGTTCACCTCTCTATGGAAGCCCATTTCCTCCACTGTGGGGAAAAAATAGAGATCCTGTAATTCATTATAATGACTTACTATCTCTTAATTATGACTTACAATCTCATAATTATGACTGACTATTAAATAATTATGAGATAGTATCTCATAATAGATCCTGTAAGTCATCATGAGATAGTATCTCATGATGACTTACAGGATCTTTATTACTTTCCTCTCAGTGGCTGAAATGGTCTTCCAGACTTTGATGCACTCTTCAATCATTTCAGCAAGTATTGACTTTGGATCTCTTTTTTCTCCTCAGGTGACAAGATGGGGAACGGTTCGATTAAATCAAAGCGTTACAAACACACGGACGGCTCCGCTGCCGCCTCCAACAGCCGAGCCCACAAAGATCCCGGGTTCAAAAACTTGTCCCTGGACTCCCTGAGGGCCCGGGTGGACGAGCTGGAGCGGGAGGGCAAGCGGAAGGACGAGGAGCTTTGTGCCAAAGAGCAGCAGATCAAAGGTCTCCAGGAGCAGCTGGCCAAACAGACGCGATCTCTGGCCGAGCTGAGCGAGGAGCTGCAGGACAAGTGCGTCCAGCTCAACAAGCTGCAGGACGTGATGAAGAGCCAGAGCGGGGCCTCGGTGTCCTCCAGGACCCCTTCCATCAAAGCCAGCAGCAAGAACAGCCCAAACCTGAGCGTTCGCATCAAGGGAAGCATCAATAGGAGGAAAGGGGCCAAATCCGGGGTGTCGGCCGAACCCACGTCCAGGACCTACGACTCCAGCGGCCTGCCGAAGTTCTCCTTCGAGAAGGCCCGGGTGTCCAAGGATGCGAGGTGAGATGTTTGAGTTCAGGAGGGTTCAAAAAAAAAAAAACTGCAAAGAGGAGGATGATAACGAGGCCAGACAGACAGAAAGGTTGATGACACCCTCAGGTCCAGTCCAGCCTGGTGGAGGAGTGTTGGAAATGGAAGCAGCAGGAGTGGGTGGTAGACGGAAGGTGGGCAACAAGCAGAGATTTCAGTGCGATGACGAGGAAGAAACTTGTTGTAAAAACAACATTCAGTGTTCAGTCCAACATTTTTCAGCTGCTTTTTTCTGCTGAAGAAAAATAGAATATTATCGACTTTATGTCCAGAATGAATGCGTTTAGTCACGTAGTTTCAATTTGAATCATTTACTGGTTAAAAATAAATAAATAAAAAAGGCCAAATGTATGTTGACGCCCATCCTCCTCTATAGTTTGGACTCTCAAGACCCAATAAAGAGACATCTTTAGACATTGTGCTTCTAACTTTGTAGCAACAGTTTGTTTGTTTCCTGTGACAACGCCCCCCCCACCCCCGGCGCACAAACGGTCCATTTCCGTAAAGAAATGGTTGACCCCATCCAACACCTTTTGGGTTGAACTGGAATGCCAGTCGGTGTTGGACCTCACTAATGCTCTTGTGGCTGAATGGGAGCAAATCCACAGCAGCCATGTTTCACAACCTCGGAGGAAGCTTGAAACCAGAAGAGTGGAGGTTGTTACAGCAGCGCGGTAAAGCCCACAGTGTTGGAAGAAGATATTCAACAATCTCATGAAAAAGGCGTAATATTTTTATGAAACCATAAATTGTATATAAAAGGAGTGGACGTAGTCATTGTGACGTCCCCCGTTGGTTTGTGGACTGAGGTTTGGAAGCCTCGAGTTTGGCGCCATGTTTTTTTTTGCAACCAATGAACGGAAGTTCCCATATTTAGAATGAGGAGGAGTGACGTAGAGACACCGCATACGTCTCTGGTAGAGGCCTGTACATCACAGTAGCCCCGCCCTAAAGCATCCCCTGCTTTATGGTCTGTTTGACTCTAAATGGACCATAATGTACTAAATGAACATCATGCTGTATTGAAGAAGACTTGAAACTAGAGATTGAGACCATAAACTCATGTTTACAATGTTTACTGAGGTAATAAATCAAGAGAGAAGTAGAGTCATTTTCTCATAGACTTCTATACAACCAGAGGAGTCGCCCCCTGGTGGACAGTAGAGAATACCAGTTTTAAGACACTTCTGCATCAGCTTCACTCTTTAGTTGCCATCTGTATGAAATAAAAAGAAAAATCTTTACTTTTGAAGAAATGTTATTAAACTTAACAAAGCTCTGTTTATAGTTCATTGCAAAAATGAACATGCTGCCATTTCTTCTATAATTTCTTACCTAAAACAGGATAAAGAGGCATAAATCAACATTCCTTTACAATGAAACAGGAGCTCCACCTGTCCCATTAACAAAACAACAATTACCGTTCTCCAAGCTGTTATTTCATTAATTTATATGCCTGTGTTACGCTATGTCCCACCCCGACAGGAAGTAGATCAAATTATGGAAGTAAGTTGATCTCAAAATGCAGCCTTGTGGGGACGGTCAGGGTTCGAGCCTCAAAACGAGCACATTAAGGACGTTAACTGATCTGTCATCTACTGTGTGCTGGATGCTCAGACATCCAGCAGAAGACTTCATGGTCCTGTCCTTCTCTAAAAAAACGTTAAAAGAATTAAATGCACCACACAGCTCTCCTCCAGTGTACCATGCGCTCCAAACATTAACGACAATCTTGGATTCATTCATTTTTCTCATAAATCTTTTTCTATTCAGAGTAAATATTGTTTTTATAAAACATAAATGTCTGTAAGGTTGTTTTGTATATGTATGATGTTTTTAGGTGAAATGACTAATTGATATACGTAATACAAAGAAATCATAAGAACTGCAGACGTGACTCTGATTAGGGTTAAACAGCTGGAAACATGTGGAGGATAAAATCATGATATGCTGGAGAAGAGAAGAGTTGACAGACAAAACCGGTAAATTGGACAGTACAGTTTGAGATACTCTGTACTTGATACTTCTCACATCCGTCTCCTTATTGGCTCAGCAGTTGCCAGGCAACCAGCGGTGATTCCAAGGTTTTACTGGTCGAGGCCGAAAAAAAATCATCGAATCTGAATCACAACGTGCTGTAAAACGGTTAAATGCAACTTTTACACTTTAGATATGTACAGATCGTAGACTGTAAATAAGTGGCATTGTGACGTCATCGGTTGGTGGACGGCTGCTTTGAAGCCTCGAGTTTCGGCAAGTTTGCCGTCGCCATCTTGGCTTTTTGCAACCAATGAACAGAAGTTCCCATATTTGGACTGAGGAGGAGTGACGTAGAGACGCCGTATACGTCTCTGGTAGCAGCAGCGACCTGTCAATCACAGTAAGCCCGCCTTAAAGCATCCCCTCTACTTCCAGAACCAGAAGAGCTTTAAGACACTTTGAGCATCTGCTTCCCCAGTTCTCCTCCCCTGCTGAACACATCCACCTGTCCCTTTCAGTTTGCCAGAATTTCGTTGAGGCCAACTGAAATTCCTTCTCCATCGTCTCCCCAAACTCCTCCCACACCTGGGTTTTTGCTTTGGCAACCGCTCACAACAAACAACACAAAAGGTTATTTCATGAGAGCAGCAAGTCGTGTTAGATTGTACAACATGAAATTCAAATTGCCTTTTGTCACAGCGTCCTTCATATCGAACAACATGAATACGGCGCCCTGCAATGAATAAATGAGAGCACGCAGAGCCTCCCCGTCTCGACCTGAGCCTCATGTTTAAAGCATGCGGCGCTAATAAGCCCAGCATGCATTATACAACCAAGACCAATGTAAATGAGGCAGGCTGGTACCCTCGTGCAGACTGGCCCTTTGAAAAACAGAAAACCCGTCTTCTGTGAGTGACAATGTAACACGCTGCAGACACTGAGCGGAGTAATGACAGCTAGGTGGGAGGAGAGGATGTGGGTTGAAAAATAAAGGACCGGTTGTCAACTGCTCTGGTTTTATGAAGCCCAAAGGGATAATTTATTACACACGATAAGGCGGATAAACAGACCACCCACCTCCTGCACCGCTCACCTCTCAGAGCAGCCACCGGCTCTCATGATCTATAGTTTGCATTCAACCGTGAATCTTAACCTTTTTTTGGTTTACAACTCCCCCGAAGGAAGTGATGTCTTCTTTCGCGCGGCCTCTTGCCGCAGCTGTTAAAATGCACAACGGTGAACTTTGACAGCGCATGATGAGTTTATGTTTTCGCTGTTTTACTTGATTCATTGTCCGAAGGAGCCCAGAGGCGGCAAAATAGTCATCCTTTCACAGGAGACAAAATATTTATCACGCAGACTAAAAGACGTGGTGAGTAACGTGGATGTGGGCGTCCTGGTGGCTCAGTGGGCTTCAGGAACGCAGCACATAGCGGCGGGAGAACAGGACAGGAAGTGTTTCTTGACTAATTGATTGATCATGTGATCTAAAATATAATTTAAAAAAAATAGTGAAAAATGTCCATCGCAGTTCTCCAAAGTACAAGTTGATGTATCTGTATGCTTGTTGTGGTCGAGCAGCGATCCAAAACCCAAAGATTCAATACTAGAAAACTAGAACAGGACAAATATAAACAAGTTGAAAAAGCTGGAAAACAAGTACTTTTTTGGAGCGTTTTCACATTACTGATGAGGAAAATAGATGCTGATTGATTTTATCATTTCACTAATCGATTAATCGACTAATTGATTTGCCTCTAGAAGGAAGGAAGTAAAGAAAGACAGCAAGTTGATATTAATATTTAGTTTCTCTCATATTGAATGCAAAATCTAAATCTGCAAAACAACAAGTAACTGCATTTGAAATGAGCTCCAGTGCCTCTAAACTGCACTTACATACAGTACTTGATTAAATAGATTTAGTGGCTTCCACCTCCACCTGCAACATGCTGAGTTTTAAACTGCCAAAGATCTTCATTTATTTCCTCTCTCTGTCGCTCCTCACTGACAAAATCAAATCTGAAGTGCGTGACAGACAAAAGGCAACATTCAAAGCAGAGCTCACGTGTCTGACTCCTCCTCTGTTGTTGCTGTCGTCTCTGACAGCGTGAAGAAGCTGCTGACGGACGCCCTGAACAAGAACCAGTACCTGAAGAGGCTGGAGCTGCAGCAGATCAAAGACATGGTGGAGTGCATGTACGAGCGCACCTACCTGCAGGGAGAGTACGTCATCAAGCAGGGAGAGCCTGGGAACCATCTGTTTGTCCTGGCAGGTACGTCCACTCCCGTTTCATCTTCTTCTTCTTCCTCCTCCTCCTCTCTGGAAAATCCACTCTGTCTGTCCACTTCCTGTAGTGGCCTACGATTACAAACATCACATGACATATAGCGACCAATATGAAGCAGCAGCAGCATGTGCAATGAGGAACCTCAGCAGGTGATCATTGAGTGTTAATTAGAGGGTGGAGTCTTCTCTTCCAAAGGCTCAAAACAGGAACATCGTGTAGAAACACATTTTACAGTTTTACATTTGGCTTTTAACGTCACACAACAATCACACAGAACAAACATCGCTGGCAAACACATTTAACACAAGTGCAGACGCGTGAGTGCCGATCATCCCTCTGAGAGCCGCCTCGCAATCTTCTCAATCTTGTTTCCAAAGAAGAGAAATCTGTTTCTGTCGCGTTGGTTTCATTCACTGTGTGGAAAAAAGCAGAGATACAAACCTTTTGCTTCCACAGTCAGTCTGAAGTGAGGAGAAGCACCGTGGTGGTCACCTGGCGTTTGCTAAACAAAGCAAAGAGAGAAGGAAAGGAAGCTGCGATGTATGTGTGTAAATGTGGTCACACAATCCTTTCATCCACACTAATGAGGGAGAATGTTTCTGAGAGTCTGACGGATGAAACTCTGTCTCCTGATGTACATTTAAAAAAAGCCAGATATGCAGAACTACATAAACGGCTTAAATTACTTCGTCACTTCTAAATGATTGCCGGTGATGATTTGATGCGCTGTGTTGAAAAAGAAGTTTGTCCTTTTGCTGTTTTGCAGTGTTTTGTTGCAGCATGTGTTGAGTTTTGGAGCCTAAATCTGAAGTTAACGTGACGGATTCTTAAAAACAGGCATTTTGTTCCAAACAATCCATCAAAGAAAAGAGAGAACATTCTGAACATTTCGTCTCTTTTTCCATGTGTAGCCTTCCCAATCTGTGTATTATCTTACATTTGACTACATTTTAAGTGACCAATTATTGAGTAGAAATAGTGCTGACTGCACAATTAGAGGGTCTGAAATTAAATACAAAAGAAATCTGAATCTGGCAGGGAAACACGAGTCACCTGCCGCACCGGCACGTGGCTTTTTCACATGGATTTATGACTATTTTGGTCTTTGCATGTTCTCAAACCTTTGCCTTCACTGGCTACCGTACAGCCTCTCTGACCACAAGCCAATCAAATCAAAGAGCAACAGCAGCTCTGCATCAAGCACGCTCTTTGATTGGTCTCCACTGCTCTACGCAGATGTATAGCACCTAAACCTCTGCACCAGATTAAAAAAATAGCCTAATGTTATTCTTTGAAAATTACACACTATAATTATTCGGGCCTGTGAAAAGTATTCTTGGCAGATGTATGAATTCCTCTGGTTTATCAACTCTTCGCAGGAGAGCAAAAAAGTTCATTTTGGACACTAATGTATTCATTTAGGCACGTATGAAGTACATGTTACTGGTTTCTATACATTTACATGTTGTTTTTCACCTATTTATTAACCTCCTCATTCATTTACCCACTTGATTAAATACTTTAACATATGAATTGAATGTTTGGTTGGTTGTTTTGTAGTTGACGTTTACGGCTAACCTTTTCATCTACACTAAACTGGTACGTCCCAAACTGGCAACTCTCTCAACGTAACTGGACGACTCAGTGTCTCTAAACAATGACTGGTCGTCTGCCAGTGTGGTTGGTGGTGAAATTAGCCATTCACAGACAAAATGTCCTCGTATTTGTTCTGCTGTCTGGTGTGAAAGAGATTTCTCACCTTGCACAGGAAGAAATGCAGCAGGTCGGTCGCTGCAGTAGACAGACGATCGGATTATGTTTGAACATGATCCAAACATATTCCTTAGAAGTCATAAATCACATGTTGCTTGTTTTAAAAAAGGAAGACTTTTCAAGACAAATCACAAAAGAGAATCTGAAACAATGCGACATCGTTCACCTCCAGAACCCAGCACAGCTTCTATGATCTGAATAATTAATAAAGTATTAAGAGGAATAATGATTATTCACTAATGACGCTGGTGAAATAATAACACATACGTCAGGAGCCGGTGATTGTAATCTCATTAATGAGGTCTTTCATTTGAGTCATAATTCATGCAGCAAATGATTTAATTTCAGGGTCACTGACGGACCAACAGCCTAGAAATATCTGCTATGTCTCATGTTGAGCTGACAGGAGGGATGGTAGGAAGCAGGACAGGAGGAAGGGACGAGGGTGTGTTTTGTTAACAAATTTAGTGGATGTATTTTTATTTATTTTAAAGCCAATGGCATGCATTTTGGGAAAGAAGGCCCCGAGAGGAATTATTATTATTATTATTATTATTTGTAATACATCCCAGAATACATTTGGAAAGAGTCGTAAAGTTGTAAAATCTCAGGAAATGTAGCAAAAATGCAACCTGCAGGTCTGTATGTACTGTATACTGTATACTGTATACAGTATACAGTATACTGTATACTGTATTCTGTATACTGTATACAGTATACTGTATTGTTACAGGCTCTATTCACATACACCAGCTGGTAAAATGAAAGAAGAATTTTGAATTGAATGAAATTATAACGTCATCAGATTCTGTAGCGCGTGTCTGTCTTCCTGTGTCCTAAATGTGGGTTTAAAATCACTATTGATTGTCCTTGTTTCATATTTGCAGATGGGAAGCTGGACGTGTTTCAACAGAACAAACTGCTGGCGTCGATAACGGTGTGGACCACGTTTGGAGAACTAGCCATCCTGTACAACTGCACGCGGACTGCGTCGGTGCGAGGTAAAGACCGACACTACCTCAGGACTCCAGGTGTCCTGATCCACGTTACACTTTTACATTTCATGCATCACGCTGAAGCTGTTCCTCAGATGAGCGGTCGGTCAGCGTGTCCGTGACGGATGACGACGGGCAGACTGACTTTGTGACAGTCGTGATCAAAAGTAACGTACAACAAATGTTTGATTCCCCGTTATGTCGTCTGCGGTTGCCTCTCCCTTCTCGGACGGTATGTTCACATGAAGTCATAGATCTCCCAATTAAAACCTTTGCTCCATGAAGTTAGGCCCTCCACACAGGAACGTATCCTCCTTAAGAGAAGAAGACTGCCAAGAACCCCAACACGGGACAAAAAGCAGGAGCAGTGACTTCCTGGACGGATAATCTGTTGATTGTCAGGAAATACTGACATAACTTCCTCTAAAAAACACAAATAATTAATTTTACATATCTGTGTGTAAATAAATATGATGTGTGAATTGTTTTAACTCTGGACAAAAGCAGGCTAGCTGCTTTCCCCTGCTTTTCAATATTTATGCTAAGCTAGGCTAAACACTGTTGAACTATTATAACTTTAAGTTGTGGATAACTGTTAAAAAATGTCAGGGCTTCCCATAACCCTTTGCAAACAACTCAAAATAAAAGCTGGACAGCACAGTAGTTCATTATCAAACAGACTCTGACGTGAAAACAATTAGCTTTAATTGTCGGTGGGAAGCCAGTGAGGGGTTCTCGTCCTAGTTGCTGCACCAGTGGCTCCTTTTTGAAAGAAAACAGCGAGCAAAACATTGAAAAAGTAAATGAAAATATGGAATAAATATAATAACTTACTGACAAAATGGAAATGGAGTAGAACAAAATGCATATTTGTGGTTATGTAGATTATTTAGATTTCTCACATGAGGCTAAGGAACAATAGCTACCATGTGCGGAACTGTAACTGTGCCTGAGGGTAAAAGTACCGTTTTTATGTTACCAGCCGCTGTGATCAATGAAAACGTAGTTTCCCATCCTGTCGTCCAGCACCCGTTAACATGATATTCTCTTATACGCCTCCCCCCTCCCCCAACGCACTCCCGACTCCTGAATGCAATCTGACACTTCATCTGAGCTTCATCCAAGGAATCAGCTGATAGTGAGAGCCGGAGGATCAGATCAGGTCACTACACCCAAATAAACAAGCGTTGGCATTGGGTGTGTTGACAAAGGCTTTGCGTGATATCCACAGCTTTGCATTCTGATTGGTTTTCACCTCCTTGGCGTTTGGAAAGTGCATACCATGTAGTATGTGAGTGCTCTTTGTCCGGGTTTGTATATTTAACTGGGTAATTGACTGGTGGCCCTTTGGGGGGAGGGACCACCGAGTTGACCTCAATATTCAGGGTGAACTGGGAAAAACGTGACAGTTTGACGAGTCTCTCTGAGTGAGAAGTGGATTAAGGGCAACTCTTTCTTTGCTACCAGTTCATGTCAAACTTTCACAGCTACTTCCTCCTTTGTACCAACACAAGTCTGTCTCAGAGTCTCTGTAGCTTTGACGTGACTCAACGCCGAGATCGAGGAAAGATTACAGTGTTTTTCTCGCCTCCTTTGTCCATCTGACAAAATAAAACAATACGTTATTTCTTGGTGGTGATAGAGGGCCTTAATTTAACTAGAAAATGGGACAAAAGAGAAGGGAGAGGAAAAGCAAATGTCATTTTAGTTGTGAATCATCAGTCTACAAAGTTTACAAAGCACTGTGTTATTGAGAAGAGCTGCGGTTCATTTCGTTTTTACTAATCAGGGGTCCGTAGGTTAACCAGTTTTTCTTTGAGGGGTCAGAACCTGGACCACGTCCCTGCAGTTTTGTGATGGACGTGATGTTGTTCCTACAGCGGTGAACAAAGTGAGGACGTGGGCTTTGGACCGGGAGGTGTTTCAGAACATCATGAGGAGGACGGCCGAGACGCGACACGAACAGTACCGCAACTTCCTCCGAAGGTTAGTCCCAGTCTGTAGCCAATGAGAGCAGTGTCACCTGACTGGTGATGCTTCTTGTAAGTGATAACGTACAACAAGATTGAGGTGAGGGCATGTCATGTATGATACATGATATCTAATGTCTGGAAATCTAATATCTTTTAGAAGACATGAAGGAAATATGGTTTCTAAACATCTAACATCAAACTACCTGATGGTAAGGGTACATAATGACCATCATCTAGTAGTCAAATACTAGTTATGTTGGGTTCAGTTAGTCAACAAGTCACTTTGTCAGTTAATCACTGTAGAAATCTATCTGATATAACTTATTGTTAAATAGTAGAAGTCAAATTCCTGATTCCTGACAAATTAGCCCCAAAACAAACAAAAACACATACCTCAAGTAATCGGGTTCTGTGGCTGCTTTTGGGCAGAGTAACAAAATGAGGTCTTTAAGTGGCTAGTTAATTTTGGACAAATATATATATATATATATATATATATATATATATGTATATATATACATTTTTTGTCCATCGATTCTCATCACAGCAAAAAGATACCTACATTTAAAGCAGCGTGAAGCACTTTTGGACCACTAGGGGGCAGAAATATTCGAAAAAAAAAACCAAAAAAAACTTTCATAACTGCGGATCCTCGATGCACCACTGGTTATCAAGTTGTTATGGTTAGTTTGTTAGCAATCAGTTACATCTAGCAGAAACAGAGCAACATGGGATTGTAGTTTTGTTTGTGTCCAGCTGATGAGTTCAATATTTACTCTACTGGTTTAGTCGGGTTTAGTCAGGTTTGGATGGTCTCCACCACCTCAGACCATCAAGTCTAGATCGTGTTAGGTTATTGTCCAGATGCATCACTTGATTACCGTGACACATGAAATATGGTTCCACATTCCAGCTCCCTGGCATCATGTGCACAGTCATTTATATTATAACGTACACACAGAAATGAATGCTCATCACCTGTGTTTTGTTTCTTCTGTCAGTGTTTCACTCTTGGCTTATCTACCGGAGGACAAGCTAAGCAAAATAGTGGACTGCCTCGAGGTGGTAAGTTATTCTGTCAATCTATCTATAATTCTGCTGGTGGGGCCAATTTAACTTTTCATTGTGTTGCCTCAGTATAGTAACCCCCCCCCCCCCCCCTCTGGCAGCTCATGGGAGCCCCGGCATGGCAGATAGCTGCTGTCAAAATATCATTACCATTTGGCCATATACCATTACTGCGTGTCAGCGTATTCCTTCTACCTCCAGTCGGCGAGACTTCACAAATTACCTTGTTGATGAACAGAGCCGATATTATTCCTGTCATCGTCGGGGCGGTGTATATTGTTGCCATAATTATTTGACCAAGGCCCCAGAAAGTGTTTATTCAAAATGGGGGACGAGTGATTTCTTAAAGATGTGCGAGTGACAGGCTTTTGGTGTGAGAACATACAAAGTGTGGCAAAAGTGAATGTGTGTGTGTGTGTGTGTGTCTGTATGTGTGTGTGTGTGTGTTTGAAACACGTTCTCCTCCGTAAGCGTCGTATTTCAACTGTGAAAGAGAAAACGGAGCGGAGCTTGTCAGCATCGGGTCAATAACTGCCTCTCTCAGCGTCTTTTCGCAACGAAAACTTCAAGGACGTTCCTTTGCAAATCGTTGGTCGTCTCACTACTTTCCACTACTATGGGAGAATTTCCTTATTCAGTCATTTCTGATGGAGCTGATTCTGTTGCCTTTCGGGGGGGGGGGGGGGGGGTAACCCAATAGTGGTGCAGATGTTCGTTGAGAATCTGCCAGATAATATTGAAGCTTCTTGTCAAACAGTGGGGGAATGGAATTTGGTGTGTTTTTGCCTGTATTGTGTGTCATTGTGTGTGTGTGTGTGTGTGGATGGGGGGAGGTACCTAGTTTTAAGGATTCTCTTGTCAGGTTTTTAAGTCTGATCTGCTGATTGGGATTCAAACTGGAAAGCTTCTATTGAAAACAAGGAGCTCTGTTGAAAGACATTAACATTAAGATAGAAATGAAAATAACATTTATTTTCATTCACTCATGCTCCTGAATGTGGAAGCTCAGCTAAGCTAATGCGCTAACTTAGGATGCTTAATAGCTTCTTCCTTTTTTTCCTGTGATGCAATCTTAGCTTGCTCTTTAGTTCCCGCTTTGAAATTTTGAAAAAAATGTGAAGCCTACACAAATGTACACAAATGCGAAACATGTTTTGACAATACATTGAGACAGAGCTACCGTAAAAAACTGGCCAATCAAGAGGCGAAAACACGCAACCAAGGGGTGAAACACTAACAAAGTGTCTGTAGCTAAAAAACCTCAGGATTATTTATAGCACTCAATGTCTACCAGGGGTGCATTTGATAACTGAAATTATGATGGATGATGATGAAGTTAGCTGTTAGCGAGCTATGTTAGCTATGTGTTAGCAAGCTACTGTAGTTAGCTAAGGCCCTTGCAAATATTTCCCTGCACTGATTAATCCACATTTCACGAACACAAGTTGGGCCATAAATGGAATATTGTAACTTTAAAACTAACTCTTTGTCCATACGTACATATCACTTCTCTGTGAATGGAGATGACAGAAAGCAACAACTGTCACCGTTTTTAAATCATTCATGTGTGCTCACGTCATGACTGATATTTCAACAGCTCCTTGAAGGCAGCAAGATGCTTTTAAGGGGCGGTACAGGACAACCAGCCCACCTGGGGGCTGCTGAAGACTGCGGTGGTCCTTAAAATAGGTTTAGTCCTTCCTCTGGTCTTTGGTGTTTCCGTCCCCCGGGCAGCAGAGAGAGGGACGGTGGAATATGTGCTGTGACTGGTCGATTGACAGTCGCCAAAAATAGGACGACTGCAGCCAAAACCCAAAGCACACACAGCTGAGCATGAGTGTGTTTGTCCAACACTCACATGAGCAAACCAAGTCCAGAGCAAGTTGATGTACGGGATTGCTGGGGGGGGGGTGGTCAGGGTACACACTTTCTAAGCTTTTTAGTGAAAATGTCCTCTTTCTTTTCCTGAAAAGGTAAATGTTTGGTTCAGGATTCAAGCTGGTAAAGCAAACCCAGAGATACAATTCAAACGGTGTCGCTCCCCCTGCACAGTCTTCATAAACAAAACCTTGGCATGTTGTCTCCACTGCCACAGACGGGTGTTAAACCAGGCTCTCCTGAAACGTAAAACGTGACGTAAACAAGCTCGGGATGCTCAAGGAAAAAGGCCACTTGTGTCAAGAGTTTTGACAGTAAACACGGGGGGGGGGTTAACGCGCGGTTGGCCTGATTTGTTTGTTCACTCTTTTTTCGCCAAAGTCCTCTGTAGTTAAATGGATTACAGCTGTGGACAGTTGTCTCAGCTGGCAGGGAATTTGGCACCGGTCCCAGAGAACATTTCATCCTGGTCACCTTCATTCTGGGCACTTTCCCCATCTTCACTGGAAAACAAACCCTTTAAAATGGAAGGCGATCCGGCAGCTCGCTGATTCAGCAGAATGGCTTCAGCGCTGTGGTTGGTGTGTCAGGTTTGGGTTTTGACGGACAGCATGAAGTGGAGACAGAGAGAACACACTGTACCCCAGCGTTTGATTCAAGAACATTTCAAAGTGTCACTCAGTTTTACGACGCTCGTGAGGCTGAACTAAACATTGAGACGGACTTTGAGTGTTCGAGTGTGATCTGCACCAACTGGAGTGTTTCTGTAAACGACTGAGTCTGAGTCTGTGAGCTTATAACAGGGACACAGGAGCTGCTTGTGTCTGATTTGCTGACACTTCAACCAAATGTTTTTTAGGTGACCAAAATGTTACCTTCATGAACTAAAAACACAATACGAAAGGATTAAAGTAAGACAAAAACACGTGGTAGCAACCTGTCAATTACAAAGTAGCCCCGCCCTAAAGCATCCCCTGCTTTATGGTCTGTTTGACTCTAAATGGACCATAATGTACTAAATGAACATCATGCTGTATTGAAGAAGACTTGAAACTAGAGATTGAGACCATAAACTCATGTTTACAATGTTTACTGAGGTAATAAATCAAGAGAGAAGTAGAGTCATTTTCTCATAGACGTCTATACAACCAGAGGAGTCGCCCCCTGGTGGACACTAGAGAGAATGCAGCTTTAAGGAACTTTAGCAACCACCTGGTTGTGACACTATCACTTGGTGAAAACTCTGTCCACACACCTGATAAAACACTCAAAACTTCCTCTGCGGTAGTTCCTGCTGCAGTAGGTGTTTCAAGACCACATTTTACCTCGATGACTCACACACAGACTCACAAGGGGAAAATAATCCCGACCATGTGGCACCATGTTGAGAGCAGATAACCAGTGACATTTCTTTTTACATGCACATGGCAACCTGATATCAAAATGGTCTGAATTTTAAAACCCCTGTAATCTGAACCCTGAAGCAGAAGACGACTGTACAGGAAGAATAATTCTGATAACAAAAACTTATTAAAATAAACAACTGACTGATGTTTTAATTGTGATAATATTTTGTAATTTGCGTGTTGGCTTGTTCTTTCCCTCTTCTGTGCCGCTCCTCAGGTTTGTGTATTATAACTTATATTACTCAATCAATTAGTGGATAACTCAAGTAGCTAAACGATGCTGAATACGCAACGAAAAATGCATCACGTGATAAAGCAGGAAATAGTCTTGGCCAGGATTTAATGCATTCAATTTAATTAATTTAATACTACCATAGACCACAATGTCAAACACAAAATCGTCCTTTAGTGATGATCATGAAAGGCCCTCATGACGGACATTAAAACCATCATAATCAACATATTGTATTGACCTGTGCTTCATGTTTCATTAATCCCATGAGCCTCCCAAAATCCTCTCCTGATCAGCAGGCTGAGAAGTTCCGAATGACGAACCATCATTGATGGCTGAACTCCAGCTTTCATCCCTCAGGGCACCGGCTACCAGGAATCAGACCAGCTGGTTCAATGGTAAAATCAATGTAATGCTTCAACTCTGACTGTTGTCCTCCCCTCCCCCTCCCCCCTTCCTCCTCACCCGCCTCTCTCTCCCATTAGGAATACTATGACAAGGGAGAGCACGTCATCCGGGAGGGAGAGGAGGGCAGCACCTTCTACATCATCGCACAGGGGAAGGTAACACAGACACACACACACACACACACACACACGCACATCATGCAGCTTATCGTTTACGTCAGGACGCTCAAACTGCAACTCTTATTGTTGACTAATTTTAACTTTAATCCTAAACACAAGGCCATAAAAATGTCCTCGCTCTTAAGTGTAAAACGTCATCTGTCTCTCAAAAATACACACACACAAAATGACCAGGTTTGCACGAAGAGAAAATTTCATTTTGTTTGTTATCCCAGTGGCCACTCGCGGTATTGTACAGAAAAATCCCCTTTGCAGCCAAAACACATTTTCACCATAGACTCGTATTATAAAAGACGGGAAAACTGTCGACAGGACACGTTGAACTGCAAACAAGGTCAGTTATGACTTCAATTTACTCCTATGAACTTTTGATCCATGGAGGTTTCATTTTTGTAAAACTTTCCTCGAGCCGAAAAAAAGCAATTACAAAAATATGTGAAGTCTTCACAATGTAAAGTCGAGGTGGAACTCGTGCGGGAGGATCGGTACTGGGAATATTCACTAAGTAATCCTGTAAGTTAGAAAAAAACGTTTGGCATATGCACATGGGAAACAATTCTCAATGGACTGAGTGGGCGCCATCTTGGAATGGAATGGAAAAGAGGATTGTGTGTAAAAGTTAGAGTTTAACCAACAGTATTGCAGAAATATATGGGAAAATATATATATTGGATATTATAGAATGGAATGAGATAAAAAAATAAAAGAGTTGCCATCATTAGGTGTTGTATCCAGTTCTTTAAATACATCCGTGGGCTGTACTCAGGAACAACGTTGCTTTGAGCTAAATGATACCATCTTTGTTTAACATGTTAGCATGCTAACGTTTGCTTATAAGCACCAAACACAAAGCACAGCTGACGCTGATGGAAGTGTTAATAATTTAGCAGGTATTTGGTCACAAAACAAAGTGTTTGAGAAGTTACATTTTTGACCTGATGGTGGCGCTCGAGGGAAAAGTTAAGGGATCATCGAAGTGATTAGAATTTATCCTGAAGGGAATGTGAATGTTAATTTCATGCAAACATACAATAGCTGTGGAGGTATTTCAGTCGGACCTACATTTCCATCCCGAGAGCTTTGTATGGCTGTAAAAGTATATTTGTACAATTGAGAAAATTAAAAAAAACTGCAGTCAGGAAGGAAGCTCTACTATGTGGAGAGTCAAAAACATAACATGCAAACCATCCAATACTTGTTTTTGCCTATTCCCACTGGTTATAATGACATGTTACAGCTGGGCTGCGCTGCAGAGATTTCTGGGACGTTTTCAGACTCAACAATGAGACTCATTAGGGCCGGACACACAAGCCTTAATCCCGTCCTTACAACAATAAAATAAATCCTGCAGTGTCTCGGTTAGACAATGCTGTGTGACGTCTTCATTGCACTGATAAGGATGCGGCAGCAAAGGCTTTCTTCATCAGTCAGCATGAGTGTTGGATGGCTAAAGAAATGCTGTTAGCCTCCTAAAATCTTGCAGGACGCTTGAGCCCGTTCTGCTCCTGCTGTCTTCCTCTGTCCTTTCACTTTGGTGTCAAAGAGTGGAAACAAAACTGCATATGATAATGAATATAGCTGCAAATACAATCTGCAATTCACTGGTTTAAAATCCTGCTTCAATGACTCAAGTGCTTTGGATAATTTCAGAGTTTTTTTAAGAAGATGTGTGTCAGACTTTAATGGACGTCGTTGTATAACTGACTCCATGTCTGAAATAAAGGCCAAAAGACAAGTTCAAATGCACACAAAATAATAAATCTGGCGAATACTCCAACAAAACGATATGTTGGTCAAAGTGGGTGTGAGTCAGGGGGTATGACTCACCCGCCCGTCTGTCTGATAAGTCGGCAACCTGACACCGGGGCAGCGAGCGGAGATGGAGAGGGGCCAGAGACGTCCACAGTGGACTTTCAAAATGCCATTATGAGCCGATGCGAGACAGCAGCTCCTCAGCGCTAAGCTAACCAAACCAGAGAGGAACACATGTTGTTTGGGAGAAAAGGGGGCTAATACAGGAAATGGCTCTAGTACCCCCCCCCCCCCCCCCCTCCTCCTTGTACCCCCTGACCAGGGAGAGAATAAACTCTGAGAGCGCCTACCACCAGGAAAAGCAGGGTCACTGAGGTCAAATGCGATACTTAGCTAAAACACATCCCGGCTGTTACAGCAGGATGGTGCCACGAGTGGGATGTTTGACCTCGACCGGGGTGGGCCACTGGTTTTTAAAGCCTCACAAATGAAGGAGAAGTTTTTAACGTCCAGGCTGCTGGAGTACTTTGGTTGAAAACCGCTGCAGAAAAACACAGCAGAACAAACAGAAGGCAGCTGATTTAAAACCCTCTTACAATAAATATAGTACATCAATGCCACTCTACCACTCATAGCCATCATGTTCCAATTACTATAATTTAATATGTCAATTCTTCTAATTTCTTAGGATTCTTTTTTTTTACAATGCATGCAAAGATATTTGGAGAATAATTGAAAGCACCTGTAAAAGCTGTCGGGGTGAACCGGAGACGTCAGTGTGAAGCAGTGAAATGTGCTTTATTAAAGATCCAGCTGACTGTGTTGTGCAGGTGAAGGTGACCCAGACCACCGAGGCCCACAAGCTGCCGCAGACCATCAACACGCTGCAGAAGGGAGACTACTTTGGAGAGAAAGCCCTTATAAGGTAAAAACAGACAGTTTTTAATCTGCTACTGTCTCCCGATTCTGGGGTGGAAACACTGTTTTAATAGCCGAACCATGTTAAGCCATGTTTAATTATACTGCCCATTAAAATAACAAAATACAACCTGAACAACTGAAGACACCTTCTATCCTGAGGCACTTTATTCAGATCCCCAAGAACAACAATTGTACCTGCTTTCCACATTGAACATAATGAGATGTAGCAGCAGGGCCTGTGGTGAACAAGCAGCCTTTCTAAAATATGCAAAACAAGGCAATGTGCTCCACTGTATAAAAGGGCACATATCATAAAAAAACCTCTCTTTTTCAGTGCTTGTGCTCAGACATTTGGGCAACTAACCAGGCGGAAACCTCCGATTATGAAAAGGAAAGCCAATCCGGAAGTGTCTTAAAACCTGCATTCTCTCTAATGGCCATCAGGGGGCGACTCCTCTGGTTACAAAAAGAAGTCTGATCGTATAGAAGTCTATGAGAAAATGACTCTAGTATAAACCCAAAAAAGTATGAACCTTATAAAGAGCATGATATGTCCCCTTTAACATAATGTGATCGCATTACGTTTAAATGTGCTATAATCCTCTCAACCTGTCAATCATTACTGTTAAATTCTGTTAAATGTAGATTTATGGATCTTTTTGAAAACTAAATGTTTAAAATATTCCCAGCTGTGACTGTCTTGCTCAAAACATTAAAAACGATGTGCTCTCTGAATCCTAAATTCCTCATCAAAACAGTGAGACATGTTGGCGTCTGTCTTTCAGTGATGATGTCAGGTCAGCGAACATCATGGCCGATGAGAACGGGGTGGAGTGCCTCGTCATCGACAGAGAGTGAGTATTCTGACATTTGAAGTGTAGTTTTCTGGACACCGACAAAATATTGTTTGCTTGGTATCAAAAGGTTACGGAAGCCCTGACAAGGAAAGTTAAGAAATAACAACATTCTGGTGATTAATCTTCTAAATCTGATCTCATTTGTTTCTCTTCTGGGTCTATGACTGAAAAAGGTTTTGCTATGATAATCTTTCTAAGTTCATTATTTTGTTCTTCATCTGTGAAACAGGTAAAAAACATCATTCAAATTGTTTTGCTACATTGTTACATCTTTTCATCATCTGGGAAAACAGGTGGTAAAAACAAGTTTTGGCAGATGACTCTATTTGTTTGGATCATTTTAGGTGTTACTGTTTGTTGTTGTAATACACATTTTGACCACAACAGACTAAAGTGCACCACTGCCCCATGTTGTAAATCGGACCTAAAGCATGTACCTTGTGTTTAGAGTGCATGGAGAAATGAATAGATGACATGAATATGTTTATTCCTATTTAGAACATGTGAGAGAGGTTCACTTCAGCGTCGTGGGGCAAAAATGAGTATTACAACAACACGTGTTCACAAGAGAAAACAATTCAGATCAGATTTAGTAAATAATGGATCACCAGATGCTCAGGGAAAATGTGATGAAACAAACACACGACTTTCAACCAGGAGACCCGTGTTCATGTCCCAAAGTGCTGGTGAGTTTTTCTGAAGTTGCATGTTTTCTGTACTTTTGATTTATTGTTTACTTAGTTTAAGTAGTTACTTTAAGCCCGACCGTGATGTTTTTCCTAAACCTAACTAAGTGGTTTTGTTGCCTGAACCTAAACAAGTGTTTAGACTATGAGGGCCAGGCAACGTTATGTTGTGCTTTTTTAATTTTTTTAATCTTAAGGATTGTCACAGAAAGGTTTGTTGCCTAAATGATCATTATGATGCAAACACTCTGTCAGCTTTCTTCCATAATCATTTGGGACAAATGTGTGAATCTCATCTGAAAATGCCAGTTCTGATACGTGCAGTCTAATGTGACAACATAATCACATCTCCCTTAGGGAATGGGGTGTTTTGGTATCTATCAGCTGCTGATTTCCTCTTGTAAAATGCAGTTCTTTATCTCAGTGGGAACAACCGACATTCCAGTGATTGCACTGTTGACGTGTGTCGTTGTTTTAGGACATTTAATCAGACAGTGGGCACCTTCAACGAGCTGCAGAAGTACCTCCAAGGCTACGTGGCAACACTCGATCGTGACGACAAGAAGAGACATGCCAGGTGGGTGCGGTGCCATGTTGCTCAGGCCGGAAAAGTGAATGAAAAGAAGCGCAAAAAAACTGATCAAAATAAACTTTTAAATGAGAGTAAAACTTTAAACACAACATACCTGGGTTCTGATCTTTGGAGATCCATACTTATCTTTGGTTGGTTAAAATGAGGTCCCTCCTCCGTCTTCTTCCAGGAGGTCGGTGTCGCGTCACCAGAGCCAGCCGCTGTCGCCGGACGTCGTCCAGCTGAAGGACATGGTGTCGGCGTTTCCTCCGTCCAGGCCCTTCGACCACCTGGAGGTCGTCGCTACTCTCGGCGTCGGCGGCTTCGGACGGGTAGAACTGGTGAGTCCTGAATCTACGAGCTGTCATTGATTATTCATTTCATCTATGAATCAAATTTGAAAAACGATAAATAAATAAAAATATCCTGGTAATCAATTAAAATAATGAAAAAATTGAAATACTTACTTTTATGTTAATTTTTCTTTTAAGATAACTTCTGTAAGAAAAAAAAAGAAAGACATTTTGCAGTAAATAATATGAAAAGTGAAAGAACACAAAGATGGATGAGTCATGTCACATCTTTAAAAATGTTGGACACAGCGTTAAAAAACACAAAAATAGCGAGGCAAAATGTAGTTTAGGTAGTTATTTTAAGCCTAACCATGATGTTTTACCTAAACCCAACTTAGTGGTTTCGTCGCTTAAACCTGAGCGTTTAGACAAAGTGTTTTTGTTGAATTCACAACGTTAACCGCATGTTTACTGCGACCGTAGTGGAGCGTCTCCCTCGCCTCTCAAGGCTTCTGTAGAAGTTTGTTAAACACATTAGATTTACAGTTGTTAGTACAACCAGAGCTCTTAGGTCCCTCTTTAGTTCTTTTTCTATCTTCACCTTGCCTGCACACCTCATGTTGTAACGGAATAAAGTTAAGACATAAAACCTGACAACACCGAGTGAAAAACAACTCGTTCCAAATGTGAATCTGAGGTTGGCTCCAGCGCTGCGGTCATGCAGTTTGGGCTTTTGGTGTCGTTGAGCCGGGGAGGAAGAGACAACTTTGACATTGCAAAGCTATCTTTTCATGTTATTAGTTACAACTGTGACAAGATAAAAAAGAGAGGTCTATCTTGTGACATCCCGCCCCTGTTCTGTCCGTCTGCAGGTGAAGGTGCAGGGCGAGGACGTCACCTTCGCTCTAAAGGTCATCAAGAAGAAGCACGTGGTGGACAACAGGCAGGAGGAGCACATCCACTCGGAGAGGAAGATCCTCACCGAGGCTCGCTCGCCATTCGTTGTCAAGTCAGTCCTCTCTGCTCGGCCTCCAAAACCCATTTCCAATTTTTTATCCTGCGTGATGAAGCACTGCTCCATTAGTCTGGGAAAACAGTGCGCCGCTTATTAGTTTTTGATGAGATCACAGTTGAGGCCTCGAGCAGATTACATCTTCTCGACGGGGTGGAATGGCAAGATATATCAAGATGTCCGCTACCAAAATGTAGTTATTTGCTGTGAGGTATTGTAGCAGTAGCTTTTCTTTGGCTTTTGTGAGATTACGATGATCCACTTTCACCGTACACAGTGGAACAGACCCAGATATTAAAGCCATTCTTCACCTTCTGAAACGTTCCTCCTTTTGGCCCATCTCGTCATACACTCCACGTATTTATTCAACCTATTATCTCTTCATATTTCATATTATTGTTATGTGATCTAAGATTTAAGACTATGTAGGGTAACATCTGCTCTGCTGATGTTGAATCTGTAGATGCTCCCGGGTTGCTATTGGTGCTTTTCTCTGAAAACATCACCCCGAGGGTCAATTAAAATCACATTAGTACACAAATGAAGCAATAACTTGAGCAGTAATGTCTTTCAATGCATTGCAATAATGACCACTGGGGCTGCATTGATTCATGTAAGCAACCTGCTTACTGTTTATGGTCTGTTTTGCATAATTAGTTATCTTTCTGCTGCTTTTTTATATGTAGTTATCAGTTTAATAGTAAGAAATCAAGCATTTTTAACCAAATGAAAGCTTGGTTAAACTATTTAGGCAAGTGATTATTTAATGTAAAAGCTCTCCACTAATTAAATTAAAAAGAGATTAGAGAAAAATCCTGCACCCTGAATGTTTTACAACCAGGAAAACAGTATTATGTTGTAATATTACGATATTAACAGGACAAATGTTGATCCTAACTGACAGAACAGCATGGCCATTGGTTTGTTTGCATGAAACCTTTATCTTTGAAGCTTAACTTTGTCTGTGCTTCTTTGACTCCAGACTGTATCGCACATTTAAGGATAACAAGTATGTGTACATGCTGCTGGAGGCCTGTCTGGGTGGAGAGATCTGGAGTCTGCTCAGAGACAGGTAGGAGAGACCGAACGCTGACTTTTGCAAAAAACGAACAAAACTTGCCGTCTCTAAAGCACCATCCTTTTTCCCCACAGCATTGCCATTTTATTTCTGGCTCACTGCGGAAAAGTAATTGTATTACTGTTAGGTTACCATCTAATGAGGGACTTCTCCTGGAATCGCAGTCATAAATCAGAGAAAAAGGGCGGCCTGTAACTGTGTTCAGGTGCATTTGTGTAATGAGAACACTTCTCCTGGCTCCTCGACAGCATAGGGTCTGACCCCGTTTTGTCAGCACAAAATTTAAATTTGTCTTCCTCGTCTTTAAGGGGGAGTTTTGATGAGCCCACCGCCAAATTCTGCGTTGGTTGCGTCACGGAGGCTTTCGATTACCTCCATCGCAAAGGTGTCCTCTACAGAGACTTAAAGCCTGAGAATCTCATGCTGGATACTGAGGGATACATCAAACTGGTGAGCGACTGGACGTATTAAAAAGATGAAATAACTGTCACCACAGCCGGCAGGATGATTCCCCAGTGATGACTAGTGTGTTTCTAGCAGCAGAACGTGTTCTTTGTGATTTAAAATGAAGGAAGTCTGCAGCTTTACTTTCACAAAGCTCAAAAGTTCTCTTTCTAGTTGTTATGCCTCCGCCCCGAAGACGGAAGTTGCTTGAGGCAAATTATTTTTTCGGGTTCGTCCGTCCCATTCTTGTGAATGTAATATCTCAGGAAAACTTGGGAGGGGAGGGTGGGGGGATTTATTCAGATTTGGCACAAACGTCCAGCTGGACACCGTGAACTCACGGCCATCCCATTCTCTTAATATCTCGGGAACGCCTTCAGCAGATTTCTTTAAATTTGGCACAAACTTCCACCGAGAATCAAGGATTAAATGATTAGACACACGTCCATCCCATTCTCATGATGTCTCAGGAACACAAATATGTATTTCACTGCCTGTCTTTGTAACTGTAGTACTTATTGTACTAAAATGATGGAGTTAAAACAATGTACTCATCAGAGGGTTTTGTGAGATCTAAAGAAAGTCAATAAGCATCACATTGCTACTCAGTCAAAATACAGGGCTCAAAGGATCCTTTAAGGTATTTCATTAAGGTAATACCTAAAAGTTAACTGATCAACCCTGCCCTCCCAGGTTGACTTTGGTTTTGCCAAGAAGATCCGATGTGGCCAAAAGACCTGGACCTTCTGCGGGACACCGGAGTACGTGGCCCCTGAGATCATCCTCAACAAAGGCCACAACTTCAGTGTGGACTTCTGGTCCCTGGGCATCCTGGTGTTTGAGCTCCTTACCGGCAGGTCAGTCATCTGTCGGCGTAATGGACCATATAATCATCCTTCCTCTGATTATCGCTTCAATCTCCTTCCTGATTTGCAGTAATTATTGTTTGCTGACTTGAACAGAGTGCTGCTGAAAAGCTTCTCTCCGACAGACCAACAGCTAAATCAAAAAAATTCAGTCTTTTTTTTTTTTACTCCACTCCACAGTCCTCCGTTCTCAGGGAGTGACCAGATGATGACGTACACTTTCATCTTGAAAGGAATCGAGAAAATGGACTTTCCCAAGAAGGTCACGAAGAGACCCGAGGACCTCATACGCAAGCTGTGCAGGTACGAAATCACACAGGCAGACCGACGTTCAAAGATGAAGCCAGTAAATCCTACAATCCCATATAATTACTAATTACCTGTTAAAGCAGTCAGCAACCAAAATAGTAATTTCCCGTTTTACAGGCGAAATCCCGCAGAGCGACTGGGGAACCTCAAAAACGGAATAACTGATATCAAGAAGCACAGGTAAGAAGGGACCGACTCACTTTGTTGCTGATGTTCAGTGGAAAGATTAGCCGAGCTATTAGCACTAATTTAACATTATGAATGTGGGCCGGCGGTTTACGACCTCAGCAATTAGATAATCACTGAACACACTGTACAAGAGCAGTGGGATGCAAAACATATTCAAAAGGTTTATTACATTATTGGGTTTCATGCAGTTTTTCTTTACATCACTTGTTTTTTGAGAGAATATGAAGGCTAAGAAAGAGACGTAGGAGGACATACAGTGGGGTCATGAATTACAGCTCGCAGGTTAAAATGTTATTTTTTGGGAAATGTTGCTGACTTCAGGCTTGGCCTCCCTTCAGCCAAGTAGGCTGTATCCCCCCAGGAATAAGGGGTCAAGCTCCAGACAAATGTTCATAAAGGTTCCTCAGTATCACTGTAACATCAGAGGGGCAAATTGATCAGGGGAAGTAGTTAAGCTTTGATTTCAAACATTTGTCTCTCAACGGATTCAGATTTATTGACGTACATGTTTTTATTTGCTCCACAACGTGTCTGAAGGTGGTTCAACGGCTTCAACTGGGACGGACTGAAGGCGATGACTTTACCATCTCCTCTGAAAAGAGAAGTAAGTGTGGATATTTATCCCGACTTGTTAAACTAGGAGTTCTAATACAAAGCAAATATAATGACAGAAAAGCACAGATTGAGATGTAACTTTCATTATTAGCTATGATGTCAATGTGAATTTTAACCATTCAAATCTATAAAGTGCTACAGGGATGACACATTTTTGTAGGCCAACCCGGAAGATATCATCGTGCTGCTTCTCTCAACAAAAAGCCAATGGGATTTTTCCATTGGATATTAGATTATTGCATAAAATAAGCTCTGTTGCAAACAAAAGTTAATGCTGCATACTGTTGATACTTGCATGGTTTGTTTGCACACTGTTTTTGAAGTTTGAATGCAATCGGCAGATGTAAACAGCTAACGTTAGGCTACAAAGGAACTACACCACGGTTACATGAGCGTGAGTTCACACAACAAGGCTGTAAAGGCGGACTAGTATCCCGCGTAGTGTCGTTTAGTCGTCTCCTTTAGCCACTTGATAGCGACAAGCGAGAATGAGCAAGAATTGAGCTTAAAAATGTACATCTTGAATATACAGTATGTTCTCCAGCAATGGTCTTCCACTACTGTTGGATTCCACAACTGTTAGTAATTCATCTTCAGAAATCAGTATCTCACCCTTTCCTCCTTTGTCGTCTTCTCTTCCAGCTTACAGGACCGTCAGATCACAGCTATTTTGACATCTACCCTCCAGATGAGGACAGTCCTCCTGATGAGCTGTCTGGTTGGGACATGGACTTCTGAGACCTTCCGCTCCATCTTTCCATTATTGTCCTTCTTTTGCACGCCCTAACAACCAAAACTTAATGGCCAAAATGGGTGTTCAGGGGACCTTGCATCGGGCAGCCATGGGGGAGGTCCTCAGGTTCTTGGAAACAGTAGCTGCAATTAGCAGGTTACTTTATGAGCTTATGATTGGCCGTCTCAACACAAATGAACAGATATAGGAGAATTCGCCCTTTGACTGTCAAGTTGAACAACTTGTTACGTTACCATTACTATTCTTTTGGCTAATATATCTGACAGGCACAGGTACAATGTAGTGCTAATAGTGGTACAGTAGTAGTAGCGTGTTAGCATTAAAGCTAGAATCCGTAATACTGAAAAGCTGCTGAGGTTCTCCACAATCTGCTGCTGAGAAATGTTGCAGCTGTGTGTTACAATCAGGCGACAACCTAGGGTTCTGCCGAGTGAAGCTGATGCGGAAGTGTCTTAAAACCTGCATTCTCTCTACTGACCAGCAGGGGGCGACTCCTCTGGTTGTATAGAAGTCTATGAGAAAGTGACTCTACTTCTCTCTTGATTTATTACCTCAGTAAACATTGTAAACATGAGTTTATGGTCTCAATCTCTAGTTTCAAGTCTTCTTCAATACAGCATGATGTTCATTTAGTACATTATGCTCCATTTAGAGTCAAACAGACCATAAAGCAGGGGATGCTTTAGGGCGGGGCTACACGGTGATTGACAGGTCGCTGCCGTATCCGGCGTCACTCCTTCGCATTCCAAATTTGTTAACTTCCGTTCATCGGTTCCAAAAATAACATCATGGCAATGGCGTAATCCAAGATGGCGACGACGAAATCGCCGAACTCGCTCATTGGTCCACAAACCAATGGGTGACATCACAATGACTACGTCCATTTCTTATATACAGTCTATGGTTGCAATGGATCAACCCTCACCCAAATGGAACACAGCTGGCAGTGTTTGGTTTGTGGGAAGCCAGTAAGGGATCAAGTCCTTGGATGTTTGTTGCACTTGTGCAAAGTAGTCCTGAATAAAAAACACATGTATGCGTTACCCTTCAGCATCAGAATGAGACGCTCAAGGATTTAAAACTAACACCAATGTAAACCCATGAGTGTCATTATTAGACGGACATGTTATTTAAGAGCGAGAAGGCAAAGAATGAGTAGAACGAGTTGGTGGATGCGTCAAACAAACAGGACTTTTACTCAGAGGACCGATGTTTGTTTTTTTGTTTGAAACCAAAAGTTGAGAGATAATTACTGACGGCTTTATGTCACGTGACCTTGTGTTGTTTCGTTGGAATGTTAACCACACGCAAACCTTCAGCCTCAAGATACTACGTCTACATTATAGTGATGCTGGAGGCTTCTCCTCAAGCGGCAAAATATGAGGAGTAGGAATGAGATCAAGTTGGGTAACGAGAATGAGCTCTGCAATGTCATTTTGAAAATTTTAACAACCTAGAATTTCTGCAGTTCTGATTCCCTAAGATAACTTTTAAATTGCAAACTTTTGACCTAATGTGCTTGAGTCTACAGTTCCAGTTATTTATGCGTTAAAGCTCTGGGTTTACAAAATGTCGGACTGGAGCTAGCGCTCAGAAGTGTTGCACAAAAGACAACAGTGAGAACAATTCAAAAGGCCAATGTTGTCCTATTCAATCACGGATTGTGCCAATGACAGAGGGAAGCGACTTCAAAAACTCAACATTTGATGCTTTGTTATCTTTGCTGTAGTTCCAAAGTTCGTAGAGTTATTGATTACAGCTTTAGCTTTGCTAAGCTAGCCTGCAGGCTAAGTCACGCAGGCTTCATCTCATAACAGTTTGGAGGGAGTAAGATCCGTGTTCTGTGTCACAGTATTATGTTTTCACATTCCTTAATCGATCTACGCCCCTTTTGATAATCTTTTACAGATACTTCTAAAATATTATTTTCAGGGCCCTCATGATGGCTCCAGATGTGGTTGGTGGGGAAATTGGTGATGCAGCTGCAAAGTCTCTATTTTCTAACAGCCGAGGGAATTTGGGATTACATGTGCAGCGTGTTTACGTCTGTTGAGGAATGGAGGTGTGTGTGTGTGTGTGTGTGTGTGTGTGTGGAGGAGATATGTGTGGAGATGACATTGCAAATAAGGAAAGCAACTTGAGAACAAACAGATTCCAGAGAGGAGATTCAACTTTTCCACTTTCGCACCAGTGTCCCACACATGAAGCATCTGAGCTGAAGCATCCAGAGCTCCTTTCGCCGACAGCGTTATCCTCACAGCCCAAACTAGACACCCGAAAAAAACATGAACACCTTCCCCTCTTAGTGTGAGTTATAGATTGTGAGCATCCAGCGGCACGGTGAAGAAATATTTACCTTTTGGAAGCTGAGTCAATTATTATTCCCAGCTTCACAAGGAGAAGGGAAGTGATGTGAGGAGAAGCAGCGAAGAGGCCAAACTGAGCAGAAGATCTTCACGGTTTACCACGAGGGGAGCTTATATATGTATTTTCCATTTTTAAATATTTGAGGTTTACAGTGAATTGACTGTGTCTATGTATATACTGTATACTGTAAAGCACAAGCATCAAAAATACACAATTTATACAAGCCAAGCTCCTTGTTCCTTTATGTAAACTTTAAAAACTGGGGTGAGTGTATTTTGTAAATCACATACAGTATATATATATATATATATATATATATATATATATATATATACACACACTGAGTGGTGAATGTGTGTACAGTATGTGCAGTACAGTGTGTGATAACGTCTGTGTGTGGAAGCACCTGGAATTCTTGGAGAAGCTGTGGCCTTAAGATGATGACTACTGAATTCAGGATACAGCTGTTTGTTAATATTTTCAGATGGAGTTTCTGCTTTTTTCATTTTGTAATTGAATCAAATAGTTTTCTTGGATAGGTCTGTTTCATTTTTTTATTTTATGTGACAATGGATTATTATTATTTATTTCATTTTCTTACCAATATTTGCAGACCTTTTCTCCTTGTGGACATCTTGACTTGGCAAACACAGTTATGTAATGTAATGACATTAAAATAGCTGCAATTCAACTTCATATATTTAACCTGACTTCATGTTGTTTGGCAGAAGGTTATGTTTGTAAAGACGACATGAACATGTTTAACCTCGCCTACGAAGCTTTGATTGGCCGATTGTTTCAAACAGCAGCCAATGAGCAAATAGTTGTCCTACTTGAACTACTGAAGAAGTCAGAGATATGGGCAGAAGTTCTGAGGTCCACAGTGTCCCTGTTATAGAACACACTGCTTTACAGGGCCCCCAAATAAAAACATCCATCATTAATGTGATCTTCACTTTTGCTTTACTGCAATGACGAGTCAAAATATCTGCCACCAGAACGGCCTGCTGCTTAATGTGTGTGGATTCATGGCTGAACTGTACCTCAAAATAAAGTTTTGCAAAAACAGGAATGCCAAACTGTTGAAAGATTTTGGAATTTTTAAGCTTTTACACGTCTTAAAAAAGGCAATTGCTAACAAGTGTCTTAACGTCCTCACCAGAACACTCGTCCTCCTTTAGCTTCGCGGTGGTGACGTGACGTCACGTGACCGTGGTGGAGTTCCTTTATAGCCAAACGTTTTCTGATCGATTGCATTCACGCTTCAAATGTCAGAAATGTGAAGATTGTTAATTTGTGAAGATTATCTTTCGGACCAAAAACTAAGTATCATAAATGTTTGTTTTCCACAGAGTTTATTCTCTGCAAGAATCCAAAATCCAAATTTTGTTTCTGTCCAGAGAACCAGCGCGATGCAAACTTGGCTGCAAAAATACGTCATCCCTGCAGCACTCTATAGATGAGAGAGAGGGAGGGATGAAGGAAACCCATTTTGAGTATTTTTGCTTTGTTTGGGTGTTTTGTGCCAGTACCCTTCAAAGCCTTCAGGCCTAGAACCCCCCCCCCGCCCCCCCCCAAACAACCTAGATAGATCTGAGTCTTGCATACTTTTATTCATTTCTTTGAATGCTTTGTAAGGATGGTCAGAGCACAGAGGGGGGAGGGACCTTTAAACAAATGTCCACCACAGATATAAAGACCTTCCACATGTCAGAGCTCTGGTCCCCCTTTCACCAGACCACACCTGTACAAGATATGCAACATACAGAAAAATAAATAGATGCATGTTAAAGGGTCATTTCCATATACAAATATATTTTATGAAGCTTATTGTACAAGCATTTTCTGTTGTGTGTTTTTTTTTACCTACAGCCTAACATGTACAGGATAGGATTGAACAGTAAACTGCTGATATACTGTACTGTGTATGAATGTCTCTGATCTCTCCGAAAGACACCGGTGAAGTTTGGAAACGGGTTTGAGTCTCAATCGCACCAAAAGAAGAAAAAAAGGCCACAAAAACGACTCGTCAGTCGTTGTCGTCTGCACTGTTGTACTGGCACAACCAGAGGACGCCGCTTCATTCTACAGCACACGCTGATAGAACCTGTATTGGCACAAGATGGGGAAGCACAGACTGGAAAAAAAAGTGTCAGTACAAAATATATAAAGTTAAAAAATCTGCCCTTCGCTATTGACACAAAATAAATGTCTCTGAGATATCAAAATACTTTGAGAGTAAATTCCACTGGCGATCATGCGTATCAAAAGAATCTGCACTATGTTCTCTCATTGTGGAAACGTTTTTCCAGCTGCTTGCTTTGACTTCAACTTCATTGCAAACTGAGTTCAGTTCTCCGAACAGGCGACGAATCAAGTCAGACTGTTTGGAAATCAGAAATACACCCATTCAAGAGGCACTTCTATCTCAAAGAGACATCACACCGTCATCAACATATAGTGAGCTATGTACAAAAACAATATACAAGTCTATGGAAAAAACAGGTTTGCTGCTATATTTCAGACTATTTGCTCTGAATAAATATTTGGTTTTATGAACTGACATCAACGCACAACTCAAGGCAACATTACGACGTGTTCACTGCTCATCCTGGTTGTTCGATGTTGACCTGACGTGATCGAATAGCCGTCATGATTTATGTAGAAAACAGATCAGCTCTCCCAGATCATTTATTATATTACATGTATTGCTCAACTTTTTTTTTTATCGGAATCTGATGAGAAAATCTGAGTGAAAACTGGGTATTAAAATCCCAGAGGCATTCTTAATCATGTTGACGAACTCTGGCGCATAACACACGGCTCATTTTAGTTTGCTCTTATTAGAAGAAACACTTTAAGAGCCGACGAGGACAAAGTCTACTTTAAACTACAGATCACAGGTTCTTTTCTGTGATCTGTACATTAGCTATTTTCAACCTATTTTGTTATCTTAGTTGATGAAAACACATTTCTAGAAGCAGTTTTCTTCATAAAAGTCATTCTATGCTGTAAATTCATATATTTAAACAGGAAGTCACGGCAACATGTTCTGAACTTCAACAATGCCAAAAACAAATAGTTTCAGCCTGATATCAGGCTCATTGGAACCATGAGTATTAATCCTCTATGCCCGCCAAGTCCCACGACTTATTCGATTTCTTTCTGAGCTCATCAGGATTTTTTTAAATATACACACGCATGAAATGAATTTTAGATGGCTGTGGTTTAACACTTGTATTAAACACACAGTGACAGCCCTTGTTCCATGTCGTACTTTCTCCTTTTGATACGCCGCATCCCTTTATCTTTCAAAATCACATCTGAAGTTTGCTTGTCGAACATTTTCTTGGCGTAAAATAAATGGTGTAATGGGTCTCCTCCAAAAACTCCGCATATAATAAACTCTTAAAATGTGGGTTCTGTACAACAATGGAGCAGTGATGTAAAACACAAATACGTACGGCTGTCTACTGTACCGTCACAATGTCTGGCTTTGGAATCTAATATATCTCTCTATAGCAGCCAAGCCAATAATTATACAATAACTTCTCATATAGTGAATAACACAGTGATAGTACAGACATAAATACATACAAATAGTAACAAAAAACCATGCAAGTGCGAGCATAGGTGACTTGGCGGCGACGACCAAAGGACAACTTCAAAGCTGTGAAGGAGAGAAAGACGAGGCGTTAGTTCAAACATTCCTTCAGTTCTCTTCTCTCTTACGCCTCGATCGGTGTTTGTATATCGTGATAGCGAGTTTACGATTCAGTCGCCCAACGGATAACCGAGCAGCGGAGACATGACGATAAAACCGCGGTGTCGTTGGTGAAGTCGGAGCGTGGAGTGTTTCCTCTACGGGAGGATAACTCACGCGACTCCTTTCCTTCCCACAAACAGACAAGCCTCCTCTTCACCTGGAACAACAGGCAGTAGCTCTCCTACAGTGCGAAGGGGAAGTTGTGTCCAAACGGGTGTTTGTAAGTGAATGAGTGTCCGAGGATCGGGAGGAGAGGGTGTCGTTTGGGGCTGCAAGTGTGTCGATATATATTTTTTTTCTTTTCTGTGAGTTTTATGTGAACAGGCATTCAATGACATAAACAATAAAATAAAAAACTATCTACAGGCGCATGAATCTACAGTCATGTTGGGGTAGACTTTCAGCACCACGTTCTTGTCCTCGTCGAAGAAGAGGATGCTGAGGGAAGACATCTTCTCCGGGACGCAGCACGGCTCGGGGATGCCGGGGACGACGCCCACCGCCCGCACTATGCTCTGGATGGTGGCGTGGTTAGAGGGCTTCAGAGCCTGAAGGGACAACAAGGATACAAAAGGATTTAATGTGGCCAGAAAAGAGACAGACATTTTGTATTGGAGACGTCCATAATCAAAACCAGTCACTTTTAGAAGCAAAAGTTCCATTGATGCACTTTGATTCCTGATTGTTTTGTAGCAGAATGTGTTTGTTTCGCACCTTGTGACATGACTTTCTTTTTAAATGCACGCAAAGAGAAGATTTCTAACAACTTGGGTCTTATATATACTGTTTTGTTCCTTTTGCGAGTTAATTGCCAAGACCACAGAGAGCGATGTCACTAAAAAGAAGTCTGACAGGGCGAAAAACAGAGAGCGGCCAGACGTTCAGGTTTTTTAAAACCCCCATTTAATGGTATAAATATCAGCCTAAATGTCCATTGGTAACATCTGATACAGTTCACAGACCAGGTTCCTAGTTCAGTTATGAACTACCGTGCTAAAGGTAGTGGAATGAGGGAAATGTGGGGTGTGCTTACGTTCGGTTTCACTTCCAATTAAAGTGGTTTAGATAATCTTGATAGTTGATCATCTGACTGCTCGTTTCAGGCCTCATCTAACTTTGCTGTAGTGACGTTATCTATCATCTATGAGAATAAGACCCAGGTTGGAATTTACCGGAATTTACCTACCATTAAGAGTCCTGGAGGGCAAATAGGATTTGTTCTGATCAGAGTTTAGCAAAACTAGGTTTAAAATGAGTTAATTCAGATTTAAAATGATGCAGAGCTGCGTTGCACAATTAAAAATGAATCTCGGTTTAGTAAATCCAAGTTTAACCCAAAACCAATTAGAGTTTAATTAATATGACACTTGATAACCCAAATTTTAACAAATTGCTGTCGCAACCGTGTAAGTAGGCTACAAAAAGGTTTGTGTGTGGGTGGGCTGGCGTTTACTTTCACCAGCATCATAAAACTGAACTGGGTTGAGTCTTAACTTTCCACGAGGAAGTTGTTTAATTTTTGTTTCAAATGTAATCTTTCTTAATTTGAAGCTAGTTTTAAAGTTTGCTGCAACATGATTTAAAGTTGAGCCATGAATGCAACCTAGCCTCTGTGTTTTACAGCATCTATCCTTTAGATCATATTGATCATCGTTCATAGCTATCAATTGCATTTTGATGAGGAACTTATTTTCTCCCCACTTCCGTTTGTTTTTGGAACCGTAGTCAGGGTCGGGGTGGATGTTTGGGTCAAACAAACACAGAACTTTCACCCAGGAGAGCGCTGTCTGTGTCCCGTGTGAAACCAAAGCTCAAACTGATTTTAACTGACGTCCGTAACTTAAATAACGTAACGAAGAACTTACTTTAAGTCGAGCCGTGATGTTTTTAACTAAACATAACCAAGTAGTTTTGTTGCGTTTTGTTTTGTTTGTTTCACTTTACAACGTCAATCACATGTTTTAAACTGCATAATCTGGGAGAAATATCAGTTTCTCTGAAAACATAACTGAGGATGCAATTTAGTTCTATGGGAACACAATTTAGTAAGAGACGGGTTTGATGTAGCACACAATTAACAGAATGTCCAACAAGCAGCTACAGCGAGATCAAAACCTGACTGCTGTCTCCGTCCCCAGCAGTTCACACACCTGATCAGCTGCTTCATGTCTTAGCAGGGTCCAATAAGTGACAGGGCACCTTTTAATAGCAGCTATTAACAGCTTCTAAAACTTCAGGCTGTCAACGGAGAAACAACATCACAGGATCACAGGCAGAAAGCCTACAGGAGAGGGAGGGGGTCGCCTCAGGCCCCACTTCTGGGACTAATTACGTCCGACTACAAAGGCCGGCGACTCCGAGGTAATGAATTAAGTGGATGGATCTCGTGCATTCCGGCCATGTTTAGAATACCTGTGATGTTATCTTGCCACGGGTGGGCCGCAAGCAACGAGGGGAGCTGAACAGGTTTCTTTATTTCTCTCACTTCTTTGTAAGTTCTTTCAAATGTGTGAATGTTTCCTGAAGAGAAACTTTAAGGAACGGACTAAAACCGAGTTGCTTCCTCAAAGGTGCTTGTCCGTTTTCCACGAGCATGGTTATAAAGTTGTATTGATTTTTAAATGTTCAGGTCAGCCACCTGCCCTTCAGGACGTTGTTCATCTGAGCTGGACTATTTGTCAATTTTTGCTGTAGTTTGACACATTTATTTTACATTTTTGGTAAAGTTGGACTTCGCTTTGGACTAACCTGTTTCTTTGTATTAAATAAAGTGAGTTCTGATGCGTATCTTTAAAGATTTAATGACCGTAAGATAAACTCTAGAAGATAAAAGCATCAGCTACCACTCTATCCTGGAAGTTGAAGATAAAAGCAGATGGCACACATTTATCTCGGTTTCTTTGTCATTATCATCTATAATAGAAGACAGATCGGCTTCAGGGACTTCTGATATTAATGTTATCCAAGTGAAGCTGCTCTGTTTACATAATGTATACCATACTGGCTGAAGAAAAGCCCAGTCGTATGTACTGCATGTTGAGTTCTGGCATCATATCATGTGTGTTGTTAATATGTATCTGAACCAGAGCATCTAAAGCACATTTATATAAATATTCTTGACAAAACAGATTAAGAAGCAGGCAAAAGAACTGAAGGTTTTAAATCTGAGGTTGAAATTGAAAGAAAAACTAATGAATCTATTGGCAGAGAAGAAACACAACCCAGTCGAACAATGGTTCCAACCCTTTTGACTTGTGACCCTGACAAAACCAAAACAATGTCTTATTGTAACCCATTGACACAAGTTGCATTTGTCTACGGTTTTGAGTAAATTCTAAAGGCCTAAAACCGTCAAATAAACCAGTTATTGCAAGAAAACCCCCAATTTTGGTGGAACATCTGGAGAACTTTGCCTGCTTTCCCCTTACTGACCCCTCCGGTTGGCAACCATTGCAGAAGTGCTTCACGAGAGTCTCACCTTTGGCATGGGGAACTGGCAGGACCCTGAGCAGTAGTAGGCATCGAACGACTTGGGTGATATAATCCATTCACTCCATCCGATGTCGGCAAAGTCCACTTTCAGGTATCTCCGAGCGCAGTTCCTGGGCTCGTTCCACTGCTTCTTTCGCGCCTTTTTAATCGTCTGCTCGTCGAACTGCAGCAGAGGCATCTTGTGCCGCTGATTCTTGCGCATTTTTTTGCGTGGCCGACGGGCCTGCTTGTTTTCGAAAGGCTCGTACGGGCTCGCCTCGTCCCACCCGGGCGTCTCGTACGGATACTCAGGCCCGGGGAGTTCGTTGTTTTGCAGCGGGAGCAGGACGTTCACCGAGCGCTTGCCTCTGGGCGACGGCTGCTGCTCTTGTTCCGTGTCGTTTCGCTCACGCAGTCCCAGTTTTTGGAAGCCGTGCGAGACGGAGGCCTCCCCTCCCACCGGGTGGTGCCTCTGGAGGGTGGCTACCACGCTCTCCGGTTCTGAAATGGCCGAGTCGTTGGCGTAGACCAGGATGTAGGGCGAGCGGTCGGACAGGAGCTTCTTCCACGGCTGGGGCCCTTGTGAAGCCACGTCGATCCCAATGAGCAGCTCGCCGTGCTGTTTGGCCTGGTCGACCACGCGGGTTACGTCCTTCCACTGCCAAGATATGAAGTCCCTGTAGAGGGTGGACACGTTGATCCGAAAGTGTCCGAGAGTCCTTATCTTGTTATCCACAGAGGCGAAGCTCCAGATGACCATGTGGATGTGGTTGTGCCTCCGGGGGCCGTGGCGAGCACAGCTTTTGGACCGGGAGCAGCCAGTGGTGCTGTTGTGAAGGTCTCCGATGTAATAATGAAGAGTGGCGGACAGAACGTCCTCCGACTTGGTGAGGGAGGTGAGGTTGAAAATCTGCAGCTGCTTCTTGTTTATCGTACCTGTGTATATGATGAATAAAATAATTTACACAGCTGTACAAGACATCAGTGTTTTTACTTTTTCCTGATCCAACATTTTCTCAGTCACACAGATATTGTTGCTTTTATTTGCCCAGGTTGTGAAATATCCATCTCCATCTCAACACCCACTACACTACACTTTTAAAAGGCAGCTTTTCTTAAAAAGATAGAAGTTTCACTGAAAACCTTCCACAGTGACATCTGTGGACCATCCAGAAGAACCAGGACAGAGCCTCTGGAAAGATCTGTTTCTGTTTACTTTAAAAAAATATATGATATTTAAATTCTTTAAACTACACAACTGAAATTCCACTCATCTCCATTGTTGAGGGATGGAAGCAGAAATCTCAAATATCTCAACACGTTGGCCATTAAGTGTCTGCGTGGCTAGATACCACTGAGGGTGAGAACATGTGTTTGTGATCTGAGAACTGACCCTTTATGTGCTTATGACATACAGCCACCAGGCGATAGGAGGCAGTATAATCTCACAAACTCTGACCCTATGTGGAAACTGGTCGTCTTTAATGCTGCACACGTCCAAGTGATAATAACACGGCGTGGCCTGAAAGCAATTTAGAGTTTAAAAGAGATACGTTATTAGTAAAAGTTCCTGGTGGAAACACTAATAAAATCATCTTAAATGCAGAAGCTCACTGCGGTGAAAAACTCTCCAGTTCTGCCGCAGTATACGGGCAGGCTGGGCAGCGGCCAGATGTTGGCTCGGGAGAAAAAAGAAAAAGCGGGTCCAGATTATCTGACACTGAAATCTTAAGGTGAGAAAACAAAAATATGTAAAAAACGATTTTGCATGCAGAGCTCTGATGCGGAATATCTGCTACTGGCGCAGGGAGGGAACGGGTAACAGGTTGATCACACTCCCATGACTGGATCAACAGGTGTATCTCGGTGTCAGCACGTGAATGTGGACGGCACCAGTTTTCACGTTTAAAACAAAATCGATTTTAAAATTTAAATCAGGATAATAAACATGTTTCTCCTTAAATGCTGAAAATCTTTTTTGATGTGCCTAAATTGCGCACAATGTATGTGGCGACGCAGCTGGGTGCACTTGTAAAGGGCGGATTATTTCACTTGAAGGCAGAAGATGTTGTCAAATCCATCTTTATATAAAACAAAATGGTAAACTCTCTCCAACTCAGTGTTGTTAACGTGCGTAAAACTTTGGACACCTACCCCAGTGCGCTTTGAAGCTGCGGACAGTGTTGCCGTCCTTGAAGGGAAACCCAGCCCGGTTGTACTTCGCGTAAAGCATCTGCATGTGTTCCGTCATTGTATCCTGTAATAGCAGATCCCGGTCGTCTTTCGCGGCCTGCTTATCATCCTCCGAACGCGTAAAATCCACCTTCCGACTGACGGGGAAACTGTCCGTTTTCAGCATCGCGCAGTATCCAACGCACAGATAACTCCATCCGTACAGCAGCACGACCACAAACCGAGAGTGGAGAGCCATGCTCGAGCCAAAAGTGAAGGTAACAGCAGAAAAAAGTCACAGTTGTAGGAAAACCTAGCACGTTTCCAAAAGTGGCATCTATCTCCAAAAAGACATATCATCACCTAAGGGGTCCCCTCTTAGAAAGTGATACATCACCTTTTGACACCAGCCACAGCAAGAGAGGAAGGTGGGCAAGAAAAAAAAACAACAGTGATCCAAGTTGTCTTTTGGAAAGTTGCAGGTCTCAACGTGTTACAGTCAGTAAATGATTAAAGTTCCGGCGCACTGCAGAAGGTGTAACGGAACAGATGCGGCAGAACTAAGCCGCTAAAACAGCGACGCTCTTGGTTTTGTGTCCGAGCTCTGAGTTGATTTCAGGACCAGCAGCCAACCGTTCCCCCCGTCTCAGCTTTCATTGAAGGTAAAGCATGTTGTGCTTGGTATTATAGGACTTGTGGGACCAGCTGGGTATTCCTCACACACACACACACACACACACACACGCGCGCACACACGCGCACACACACCCAAAGAGAGAGAGAGAGAGAGAGAGAGAGAGAGATTCCTGTTCAAGATACTTTTACGCACATTCAGCCTGGGGGCAAATTATCTAATGTTATCTTGAGCTGAAGGAGGTTGTTTTGTCAGTTGATTCGAGACGGATCTTTAAAAAAACGTTTCATTGAAAGGACATTCCGCCGATTTATTGAAGTGATTTTTTTTTTTGTTGAATATCTAAACTGCTGCCACAGAGCAGCCCCCCCGTGCGTAATTTCTACTCCGCAGAGCTGTGCGTCTGGGCCGCGCTGCTGCTGAATGCAGCGGGCTTATTCTCGGCATTAAAGGCTCTCTCCCCTATTTAGTTTAGTTCAATGGAGTTAAGCACACACATCCTGTACCATCACGGTCCGATCCGGATGCTGTACTGTGCCCCCCTCCCCACCGTCCCCCCAAAAACAGCCCATCCAGGCGGGGTTTAAACGCCCAGCCGCCCTCCAACCCTCCACCCCCACCCCGCCACTGGGCTTCTCTTTCAGGGGCACTCGGGAGGAAATGATTAGGGCATTTCCCCGCCCTTGGACATCTGATGGCAATAATATTAGCATGCCGTGTCCCTCGTAGCAGTCAACACACTGAGCGGGTTTAACCCCTTCAACCGGGAGAGATGGGCAGCAGAGTGAAGTAACAAGAACCTGACTGGAATAATCAATCAATGAATCAGAGCTCTCTCCCCCAGACCTGTAGTGCATAGAGATAAAGGAGATAAGCAAGATAAAAGATCCATCACCACAACTTTGGAAGACACCAACTTGGTTTGTCTGACTCGTACTGCAGAAGCCTCGTATTAACTTCAAATAAACTTTGTGATCAATTTATTTTACTCAGAACTGTGGATCTGGTGCCCCATCTCTTAAATAGGAATAATCACAGCAAAAAAGAACTGTTCTAATGTACACATGTGCATCGGACTGTTGTTTCAAGACTCATGTTTTAATCCAATAAAGGAACGTAGTCAGGAGCTCTTCTCAAAGTGGGCCCTGAAGCTTTCTGATTGGAGCAAATCACAAAAAGACGTCGTAATTAGAACATTTATTGAGTTTCAATTGTCGTTGTTACTGCACTGTATTAATGATACATGTGAGTGTGAACATGACCATGCACAGCATGATTCAAATTGGGCTTGTTGATCTTTTTTGTTGTTGTTTTACTGCCGTTTTCAGTAACTGATGAAAAAGTGAAGTTGTTTAAACAATCTGAATAACGGTGAATTCATTTAGTTTAACATATTGATGAATGCAGTTGTACACGGCCACACGTTAACATTTGATGCAGAGTCCAGCGTTGCATTGTCTGAACATCACAACTGTTACCAGCCAGACACATGTATAGAATATATGAATCCAAGTCATCAGTCCTTACTGCTTTGATCAATAATGTCATCTTTTAGACATGTGAATCTCCACCGTGCCATAGTGTCATTATGTGTGCTTCAAATTTGAGTTGATGCAGAACTTTTCAAATGCTGCTGGTTATTAATGTCAAACAAGACGCTGTTAAAACAGAAGTCAAACTTCATGAAGTGACATGAAATAATATATATACTTTAACCATAAAATAACCATTTAGATATCAATTAAAGTCTTATTATAATTAAAAGAATACACAGTTCCTCCAAGAAGAAGGAGAAACATCTTGATGAATAGAAGTTGACAACAGCAAAACTATATAATAACGCTCCTCTCACACAACTCCTGCAGTTTAATTAAAGTTAGTAAACGGATGTTTTTATATAGTTTTACTGCTGTTAAACGCGGCCCCCACAAGAGAAAAACAAGGTTTTCTTAAAGAATTGAAGATAACACGTGGTGATACACAAACTGTCATTTTGTGGGTGAAGTATTCCTCTGAGCTTGTTTTATAGAGAAGACTAAATAGTGCCTTTAATATCTCGGTCCCAGTTATCCACCTCTTTACCTCATGTTGTGTGTATTAGGGGCAAATCTGGCCTCAAACTAATAAACCACGCTTCAGTTAAAAAACCGACAGCTTAAAAGCCCAATAAAAGAAATGAAGAGGGAAATAACTATTTAAATTAGACTTTATTGTGAAATCATCACTATTTACAGACACACCATCCGTCTGGGTGAGTTCCAGCAACTAGTTTGGTCTTTAGGTTTGGTCTTCCACAGAGAAGTAGCGTTTCATGAGCGACACTTGCTTGTTGTTCGTCAGTCCATCTGCATTTTAAAAGTGCCTATTTTGTTCATGCGCACATCTGCTGTTTTGATTGGTAGGTGTTTCGGAGCGACTGATTCCACGTTCGGGGGAGGGGGAGAGAGAGCAGAGCGGGCCGTTTCATCACCGTCACCGGGCCACATGAATGAGCCTGTAAACCTTAAACAGCTGTAGATGACGGGGAAATGTTCATTTGCCACCCGGCCGGTTTGTAGTTCTGACTACCAGCACATGAGAACACAAAGCAGGGCAGATAGAGAGATAGTCAGCCCTCACCCCGAGGTTTCATCTGGCCTTTTAGAGCAAATGACATTCCCGACACAATCATTCGGCTTCATTTGAATGTGCTTCTCATCCTTCTTAGTCCAGTTAGTTTTGTTGTGAGCGCAGCAAAGACTAACCCATTTTTAGTTTTACAGCCGTTTTGACATGAAAAGCTCAAAATAGATGTAAAAAATGTATTTTCAAAGACAACGAAAACACACGGATGGAGAACATCAAATCAAACACCCAGTTAATACCATGTTTCTTATAACTCCTGAAGACTTTCACAAACTTTTATCTTCATCACCCAAGAACAGGCCCACAATTCACTTTAGAAAAACACCACCAACTAAGAAAAGCCCAAACCAGGCCCCCATTCCCCAAACCCCAGCCTTTACAGAACCAGAACCCACATCCCCGTGTCACCGCACATATTGTTTCAATGAGGCTAACCGGGTCTGATTCAGTCACAACAGACAAACAGATGCAGGCTGCAGAGGGCGGCTCAGGGGTATTAGAGGTTTTGTGTTGGAATTAACGAATTTGTTTAAACCTCGTATCTTTCAGCAATAAATTGCAGCTGAATGGATGCGGGCAAATAAGTACAAAGGCACGTTCCACTTTGTCGGTTTAAAGGAATAGTTCAACACGTTGGAACATTTTGATTTATTGCAGAGAGTCAGATGAAAAACACATTCTTCTGTCTTTGCATTTTTATTAAACTACAGTCAGGAGACAGTTCTCTTGGCATGATGGGAAGACAGGAAGCAAGGGAGAAACAGCCTGGCTCTGTCCAAAACTAAAAAAAAAACGATGTTGTCTTGGCCGGGAGAGCAAGACCCCCCCCCCCCCCCC